CTGTGGACCATTTGTGCTTCTACTTTGAAGAAGGCCATTGTAGCTGCTACTGTTTGAAGAGCTTCTCATTTTCAGTGTAATACACTGATTCAGCAAACCACTTAGAGATGTTCATAAGGAGAGGATGTGTTTTGTATGTGTTTTTACCATTCACGTTTTTAAAGAGAGCTCTTCTTTTCATCGCTAATTTGATTCCAAATGAAATGTGAGCAAGCCAGCCTGGCAGCCCCTTTTCTAGGGAGCATGCAGTGGGACTTGTGAGAGCCATGAAGATTCTCCTTGGCCTGCTGTAAGGAGTAAGACTTGGCAAAGTGAAACTGTTCCTTGGAGATCTCTTTGTCTCTATGACAGTTGCATGCTTCAATCACACAAAAATAGGAGGAGCAATTAAACCTAGGTATGATCTTCTCTGTAATAATGCAGAGTGCACGTGCACTGACTTTGTGCTGCAGATGTGGAGCGGAGGGCTGGGTTTGCAAAGGGACTCAGGAGGTTGGAGAAATGGGCTATGGGAACTTTGTGAAGTCTAGCAAAGTCCTGCACTGTGGGATGGAGTAACCCTACCCAAGCTACAGGTCTGCAGAAAGGAGGCTGGAGGTCTTGGAGGAGGAATGGGACACAAGTGAGCAGTGTGCACTTGGAGGCAGCTCTGTATAACCTGGGCAGTGCAAGCATCAGGGTAGCCAAGAGGTTGAGGCACGTGTTTATTCCCTTGCTTGTCACTGTTGAGGTTGCTGTGGGTATGCAGTCTCCAGTTTTTGCAGAATCTCAGCACAGTAACAGCACTGACACACAGAACAGCCTAGAGGAGGGTTGTCAAAAGGGATTGGAAATTGGAAAATCTTTTTTCTTTTAGAAATTCAAAAATTTGCCTTGGATGAAGCCCTGAGGGACTCTCTGTAGGTGGAACTGGTTTTTGCTGGAGGTTCAGCTCAATGACTTTGCAGTAGCTTTCCCAAATCATGTGATCTATGTACTGAGTGCTGTGAATTCCTGTTGACTCGGATGAAGGTTGACAGTGTAAATTCTGAGTCCATTTTTTGGTGTGTGTAAACGCATCAAACTTTGTGGACAAATGTGCATGCGTTTTGCACTCATGCCTACTGCACTTGTGTTCATTGTGAAGCCCAAATGGTACAGCTGTCTCCGATTCCAGCATCCCTGCAGCTTCTCTGGTTATAAAGAGAAAAAAAATCAAATGCTTTCAGTTAAACAAACAAACAAACAGAAAAAGAACTTCAAGAACTGACCTGCATTTCTGGTCTGTTTAATGTCCAGCTGTCATCCATTCCTGCTGCCTTTCTAAATGCTCTTTAAGAAAAGCTGTACAGCCTGAAAGGTGAAACTTAGGAGGAAACCCACCGTGACATATGGAATAGTGCCACCTCTGAACATCCTGGTGTGTTCCACAACCTATTAGGAGTTGATAACATCTTTTGTTTCTGCCCCACAGTGTGTTATTATTGTAAATTGTGTGCATTGCTGGGCGGAAAAGACAGGATTTTTCATGATGACCAGGAATTCATTACCTGAGGACTGTCTTTGCTGTGGTGCAGTCTGCCAGCAGCTCAGTAAGAGGGGTGAAAGTACCCTTATGAGCCTTATGCTTCCCTGTTCTGAAAGCAGACAGGCAGTCAGCAGGCAGCATCTCTTTGCCAGCTCGCTGTTGCTTGCTGACTTACCCACTGGAATATGCACTATAATAAGAAATAATCAGGCTCAATGACTTTAAAACCTTTTCCCTTTTAGAAGCTGTCACAGTGCATGGAAAGGTTCTGGAGGTGTGTGCTCTTCAGGTCTGTGCAGCTGATAGACCTGCTGCTTGTGTCAGCCCTGCTGTCCCTGGGGCAGCACCACTCACATCACACCGAGGTGTGGGGCTGAGCATGAACATGAACTCCTCAAAGATGAGCTGAAGGCTGTTAGGCTCATTTTGTTTGTAAACCATTGTGGACTGGGAGCAGATTTTATAAAGAGAAAGGCTGCTTTGGACCACAGGTTAATCTGAAGTTCTGGAGCAGCAGAGCTGAAAGCTTGTCTGAGAGAGCAGCTGAACAGCAACTGTGTTTTCTTTGGTTTTTACAAAGGGAAATGTTAGTAACTTAAGCTCTGGAGTTTGGTTTTTGCATTAACCTTACTTTCGAAGAGATCCCCCGTTCAGTTCATGGAGGCTAATGCCTCTCTGTGCGAGACAGTTGTCTTGCAAGGCAACAATGCAGAAAAATAATTAATTACATTTAGGGCATTTTCTTCAAATGGAGCTGGCAAATATCACAGTGGTGTTTGTTCGTGGAGCAGGACTTCATAGTTCATTGATAACAGACACAGGCATGGATTTCTTGACTGAAGCCATGCAGTACAGAGCACTGGAAGGAGAGGGGCTAAGAGGGGAGGAAGCACTAAGAGCAGGAAACTGGTTGGGCATTAGGAATAGACAGATCATCTGTGTTAAATATCTGTTTGTGTATGTGAGGTTCTCTTATAAATATGACTGTCCTACAGCATTTAAAATCAAAATGACATTTTCTTGCTTTTGGGGACCTACTGGCTACATCAGTTATGTTTTTGCAGCTCCAATATCATCATTTTTAAATTGAAATTCGTTTTAGCTTGTTAATTTACAGCATGTGAGCTGGTGGTTATTTGCCTGCATATATTGCTTTCTTTCATGAACAGCTAGATATAGAATACCTTGAAGTACCTAATTTTTGTTGTATGAAGATATTACTAATAATATAAAGAGTTCATTCATTTGCACTTCATATAGATTAAACATATCTGTGGAGGAGAGAATCTAGGAACGGTTAATAAACACATACTGAAACTAGAAAACCAAGGCATTTGCACAGCCTATTTCTGGAGGAAATACCCTTTGACTTTGCACCCCAGAAGGATTAGGTCCTGGTCAATTCTGATTTCATCTGGACAGCTTTAACTCCTCTGTAATCGTGACTTGCATTTCCCTGGAGTAAAGAATGTGACTTCTCAGGCTTGTGCATCTGAGCAGACAAAGCCTCTACTGAACCCTTTAAGTATAAGACTGAATAAATTGGATCAGACAGCCTGTCACGGGTGCACTGTAAATAAGTTCTTTAAAGTGCTGTTGGTAGCAAAAAAGGAGATTTGGGGCTATGTAGGGTCTAGGACTACTAGTTCCTTCTAGGAAACTCCAGCGCTTTATTCTGGATTAGGATTTAGGTTGTTATCTTAAGCTAATAAAATAAAACTCAACAGTGTCTTGAGCAGAATGTACCCAAGCTGTAGGATAGAATCAGTATAGGGATATTTGAATGCTCAGGGACCCCAGTACCTTTTGATTCCTTACTGAAGATAGATAATAGGCAGAATCTTCAGGTTGTGTTGTACCTTCTAGGATTAAGTCATGTTTTTAGTGATCCATAATTCAGATCAATTTTTACAGTTAGTCTGAACATAGTCCTTAGGAAGTCCTTATTTTTGGTTGCATATTGTGGGTGGATTGAAGCCAAAATGGTATGTGCAGTCCCAAAGTTTTCTTTGCCTTCCTCTGTTTCTTGTCTTTAAGGAATAAATCTCTTTGGGCTTTCCTCTGCAGCTTGAGGGATGCACAGCTTTTGAATGAGGACTCAGCCTCAAGTGATCACACATATCCAAGGCTGTGGCAGGAGAAAAGCAGAAAGTACAGTAAGATGTTCAGCAGGGAGATTCCAGTTGGCAGTGCTGCACGGAGCCTGGCCCTGGTGCAGCAGAAGAGTTTAATTAAAGAATATGTTAGGACATGTAGGGGGTTCAGCTGTGTGGGCTTTTGTTTTCCACATCCTGGTGGCTTTCCCTTTGTTTGGAGGTTCAGAAGAGCTCAAGCTTTCGCAGCATAGCTCAAAGGAATCACAGCACCGCAACCGATGCACTGCTATCGCTCATAGGTTTCTGAGTTTCAGGGGACTCTGACATTATGTTATAAATGTGTGATTTGGACTCAGTCATTTAGATAACTTGGAGTCTATCAGGAATCTGAATTTCAGGTTTATAGTAAGGGCCAACACCACACAACTTGTCATTTTGGAGTAATCCTTTCCTACATCTGTAGTCGGCTGTCTTTGCTCATGGGGCAACAGATTGTAAATGTGTGAGGAAATGGGGCAGGTTGTATTTTTTAATAAGAGAAGGAATGCCAGTTGTGCAAACAGTGATATGTTCAGGAAGTGCATAGCAAAGAGAGTGGTCATGGGCAGAGAACACCCTGCTGAGTCTGGTTTCTGTGTGTACCTAGGGAATTTTAATCAGCACAAACATAAAAGCGAACACTTGAATCCTGCATCTCTACCTGTCTTGTATTCATAGTATCTTCAAGGATGGCACTTTTAAGTTGTATAAAGGGTTGCATTATGTGTTTCATTGTTTTTCCTTCTCTTGACCATGATAGCCACTTCTGATGCTGCCTCGTGCCTTGCTGTTAATCTGTACTAGCATACAACACACCTGTTGTGCAGCAGCATTTTCTAAGTTCTTCTCCAGTTTTAAAAGGGGTGACATCACCTCTTCAGTCAAGACTGATTGCCAGGACTCATTTTGTCTTGCTGTAGCAAAACGTTCTTTGTAGAAAAACGAACAGAAGAAGCTTAATCACACTGACGCTAATACATCCCCCCAGTGATCATCTATAAATATGTAGTGATGCTTGAATTGTTAATGAACTATTTGCATTTTAGAGTTTGATGAAGCTTGATTTGTCATTGCACAATTTGTTCATTGTCTAAATATTCTGAAATTGAGATGTTTTTGCACTGCCACTTTCCTACTTGTTGTCATTCATATTGATAGCTCTTACATAATCCTTCCCATTCCTAAAATCTCCGAGCACTTCACAGACAAAAGTAAGTATCATTGTCCATGCTGCTGACATGGTCAAGCTGATGGAGAAATCAGTGAAGGGATTTGTTCATGGCGATGCAAGTCAGTAGCAGAAGTGAAAACACACCTGTGTGTTCTATCTCCAGCTCAGCATCCATTCCCTGTGAACATGCAGCTCCTGACAACAATGCTGGGGGAAAGTAGCTCAGTACCTGTGGTAGCACAAATACTTTGTATTTCCAAAAATAGCATCGAGTTCATATAAATCTAATTATGTGTTTTTCTTTCTTTTTCTCCATTTGGATATTTTGTTCGTCGGGCTGGCTGTCCATATTTAGAAGAAATGCATACTCCTACTCCTATTACTTGTAAGTACCTAGCAGGGGATGGTGCTTCTTGAGCACACTTACTGTGGTAATTCTGTGCTTTGTTGTATTCTTTTCTTTTACCGCTTCTTTTTTTTTTTTTTTTTTTAACCATTGTGTTCAATCACGTCTTTCCAGTAGATTGCGTTTTATTTTTTCTTTCACATTTATATATTTTCCCTGTTTCACCATTTCAGCTGTAACTGTGCCTGCAAACACGTGAATGTCCATAGATCTGTCCGTTATGATTTACAGTTCTTTAAATGTTAATGGATAAATACAGAACAACTGCACTTTTTTTTAAATTGTCCACCATACTCAGCCAGACTGCCAGGAAATTCACACCCCAAAGTCGTTGCTGGGAATTTCTCAAGCTTGCTTTAAGTTTTAAAAATGTAAGGTTTCTGGCAATGAGGACTTGAGTTTGCCTCCACAAATATCCCTGTCTGTGGAGCTGGCAGGATCTGAGTGTCATTTCAGACCAGTGGATGATGAAAGAGTTCAGATTTTCAGATCTAAATCACCTATCCCAACCTAATGACAATGCTGCATAATTAGGGCAGTTAAGGCTCTTGAAAATGCTTTGCACACCAGAACTTTCTGGGGCCATCTGTTGTCTAAAGATGGAGGGGGCTGGAAAGTAATCAGGGCTGAGCTGGATCTGCAATGATAACACGTGTCTGAGGATCAGGAGCAGGTGAGGACTGGATCAGTGTTCTGAAGAAGGGAGTTTTGAAGTACAGAGACTGGATGCCTTTGCTGTCACCAGAGAGTTGGGGAGTTGGAGAAGACAACTTTTACTACCAAGAGAAACAAGTCTCCTCTCCACCTCTCACAACCAGCAGCCGTATTGCCCTCACAAGCAGCAGCCTGCCTGACTTTTAGGACTCTGACATAGACAAAATAGCTGAAAGGGCCACATCTGCTTTGCTAGTTTCTCCTAGCCTGCCACCCTTTTCCTTCACCTGTTCCTACTGTTCATCTCTGTGTTATGACTTTGTCCCGTGGACACATCTGAAAGATGTTCAGTGAGTCAGTGAAATGAATGTGTTTAAACTTCATTTTAGGGAAGTTGACTAATTTTGCATGGTAGTTTGAGTTACATCCTAAGATCAGGGCAAAGGATTTAAGAGTAGGATCCCTGTTCAGCTGTGGAGTAATTTTGCTTCTTGATGACCTGTCAGAAAATAATTAGTATTTTCCAATAATAATTCATGGCTTGCTATGTTTGCAAGAAACCAAAAGATGCCCTGTTGAGACTTGACTTAACCAGGTAAATAATTGTAAATGGAAGATAACTCTTTTCTCTAGGCTCCACACTAGTTAACCACAAATAGAATTTGACCATTAATAGAAAGATTTCAAGAAAAGCTTAGTTTAAAGTCAGGGACAGTTTTAGCATGTAGTTGCATTGATTGCTACAACCTTTCCTCTTCAGTGCATTTTCCCTGAACATCGGGAAAATTTCATTTTCACTGCTTTGCATTGTTACATTGCCTGAAAAATGCAGTCCCTGTTTTACCCATACGATTTCATCTTCTTCCTGCAGGCAGTATGTGGTCAAAATGTTCTCTACTTTTATTGTATTTTGAGATTTATGCATTTAAAAGCATAAGTCAACTTCTCAGCCCTATATGACCCATTTTTGCAGCTGCACCACAGTGTTGTTTTAAGTAGTCAGCTGAGGATTATTCTGTACGGAGAAAATAAGGGTATTGTTAAGCAGTCTCTTTGCTGTCTTTCAGTGGCTTCTGTGAATCAATATACTAGTACTTTTCTTCTTGGGGAACGGGAGAGTGACTTGAGAAAAGTGAAGAGACAAAACTGTGCAGGTCACCAAAGCCTGAGGTTGCAGTGAACTTCAGCAGTAGCAAAAGCAAGTGGAGATGGGTTGCAGAGATGTAATAAAGCAGTTGTGCACCATGCAGTATCTCACAGTAGAGGAGAGCCTGAGGTGTCACCAGGCAAGCTTTTGTGTTTGTAGCAACTCCCTGTAGCACCGAATGGGGATTTGAAGTCAGGATGCAGAAATCATAGAACTCTAATGCACCCTAAACAGAGAGCTTGTTCTTAGTGCTTATGCTGTCTTAGGTACCACATCAAGCATGAGCTCTGTTAGCTGGAACATCTCAGTGGTAAGGTAACCCTCAAATAGTCCTTGCACAATTAGCACCTCCAGCAGCTTTGTGCGTGGCAGCATTTGGTTCCAGATTGACAGATGGCTTCAATCTGGCAAAACCAAGCTCTTTATTGGTCTCCTGAGCAGCTGTTTGGGTGTGAAGGACCTTCCAATAGGTGTGGGAAGAGAGCAGGATGATCCATCAAGGAGCACATTATGAAGCTTTATTGAGTTTCACGTTTCCAATGTCACTTGAAATAGGTGTTCTATTATGATTGCAGGTGAAAATCTTAAATCGCTAAGGATTGTGTAATTGTTAGCCAAAACCAATAGAAATTACTACGGCCTCTTATGAACAGAAAGGTTTGATTTCAGTTTATTTGACGTGTTGTGAAAATAAGAGCAGGGATATGTATACATATAGATTTTAAAAATAAAATTGGTTTCTATGCTACGACCTTGTATGAATGTTTTAGTCCTGAAGCAAAAATTGAATTGAGTTAACAGTATTGAAAAACATGTTCTCAAATGGATCTACTGGCACACCTTTAAATACAACCGCGTAGATACGCCGTTCTGTTTTTAGTTTCAGTTTCTGGGCTTCAAAGCTGTGCTTCCTGGACTAATTCTCATCTGCTTTCAGATAATTCCTTTCAACTTTTTGTCATCTGCTGTACAGGCATTTCTTCTTCTTAGGGACCAAAATCTTCCAACTCGACTCTTCTGAATGGGGTATATCTGATAAAGACGCTGAGATTTATATCATGAGTAACTGATTCTTGCAGACGTTGGCCATAAGGGCTGTGGTAGATTCTAGGCTGAGTTCTGCCCGATTAGCTGCGAGGTTTTTGTATGGAAACACTCCATTTATAAGCTTCCTGCAATGCGTGGGAACAGGTATTATACAGGTATTATTGTGGTTGAAAGAGAAGGCCATGAAAATCTTTAAAACACCTGCAGTGGGAGATACAAACCCAGCAAGGCCCTAATCCTCACCTGTCGTGCAGGATGACAACATTTTGTGTGCTCCTCCTTAGGAGTCAGCTGCAGAGAAAGGTCCTTGGACAGAACCTGCTGTACCAGTGGTACAAGTCCTCCTGGTTTGTGATGGGTGAGAAGGATGCAGAATTGTGAGTTCTGCCCCAGATGTGCCCACTGCAGCCCTGTCACTGTGATGAGGCACAGGCCCTTCTGGAGAAGCGCTCTGAAATGCTCTGTGTTTACATCAGTAAGAGCGTCGCCTAAGTTTTCTGTAGAATTGCCAGCTCTGACACATTGCATGCAAGTTTAATGCACTGTAAGATCCGATGTACTGTGTAAGATAACAACCCATCCAGCTCTGAAAGTTTTTGTTTCTTTGCTTAGACGAAGCTGTAAAACATGGGTGGCATTACAGCTGCTTTAAAGGGGATTTTGCATTCAGTGACAGACACATCTTTTCTCACAGTGCTTTCCCCTGCAGTGAGCCTTCTTGAGGCTTTGCTATTGGTGGAAGTGTTTTACCTTCTATGGGTTTTTGTTTTTGCTTTTCAAATTGCTTTTTGTTTGGTTGGAGTTTGTTTGCTGTTGTTGTTTTTCCCTTCTGCTACGCTCAGTAATGGTTGCAGGCTGGGATTTAATCAAGAATGCTGTTAGACCAGAAAAGTGTTTCTGGAAATGCAGAGATTCATATACATGTTACCTGCCCTGCTGATGTTATTTAAAAGAAGAGAGTGCTCAGTGGCCAGAGCTTTACTTCCCTTTGCCCTCGATCCAGCAAGAGTAGTGAGGGCCCTGCTGCACTGCATGGAACCACTTCAGCTCCCATTGTGATTGAAAGCAAACTTTAATTGCAGTGGTATCAGCTTGGAGCTTCTCTTCATAGAAGAGATTCCATCCCAATTGTAAAGCTGAACGTATACATGCATTTTTCTGAACTAACAGAATTTGTGCTGAATTTATTTCCACCACATGTGGGACATTTGAAAGGAAATAAAATAACTTTATTTATGAGCATACTTCTGCATAAATAATACCTACATGCCTATATTTCATATATTTCCAGTGGGATCTGCCTGCACAGCTCAGCTTGCCAAATCAGAATGTTCGGAAGAAACAGTTTTTCTCATTAGATACTGGAAGAGCAGTCATATAAATCAGTGGCTATGCCAGTTTAATTAAAGCAAATTTAAAGAGAAAATTGAGAAAGTATGTGAGAGCTTGTTTAGAACATGTCTGTTAGGTGAGTTCAAAGCCATAGAATATATCGGACAGTTTGGACCAATAGATAGTATGACTACATGGCTCTTATGTGCACCTACCTAGTCCAAAATTGATATTGTTGTGACCACAGGTACTCCACAAAAACTGATTGATTTGCTCAAGTAAAGTTTAGAGAGTGTATCCCTGCATGTTTCCTGATGCTGAGCTTGTATATGCGGGAGTAAAAAACATTCAGAGCATCCTTTGCCCTGTGCCTGCATTACAGCACTTTCCTCATGCTGGGCACTGCTTGTTCTGTGAGCTGCAGTGGTGCAGCTGGGCCCTTGCTCATCACACAGCCTTTTCTTTGAGGAATTCTCTTCTGCTTCAGCAATAAACCTTCCCTGAGTTTGGCTTCACTGGCCCTGCTGTCCCCGCTAGCCACTAAGTGTAGGGGTTGCCCTTGGAGAGGCTGTGAGAACCAGTGAGCTACACTTAGAGCAGGACCTGCAACTCAGCTCTGGTAGGGGATGCTCATTTAGGGATGGAGATGGCAGTGCAGAGTGCTGGGCTGGGAAGGAGGAGGCACCTGCCAGGCTGCAAAAGGCTGCACTGCTTTATCTCCATCAGCCTCTGGGGCTGCAACCTCTGGGGAGATTCCCAGCACATCTAAGTGATGTGTTCAGGTTTTCCTGAGTCTCAGATGAACTGCCTTTCCTGTCATTGATCCCCATTACTTTTTTTCCCAGTGCTGTAGACCAGGAGAAGAGTTTCCTTGTGGTATCATCTCCTGTGTTTGAAGATGGCAGCTCTTTGTTTTTGCTCTGGGTGAAAGAACCATACTTCTTTTGGCCTTTTCTTGTAGGTGGTGTTTTCCAGATTTACCTTCCTTGTTCTGTTTTGTTGTATGTCCCTTTGGTACACATCCTTTTGAAGTGCAGAACTGGATGCTGTACTGCAGCGGAGCCTTTATCACCACTCAGAGCAAAAGGATTACCTGTGTCCTGCAGACTGCAGAGCCATCTATAATCCCCACCTTCTTTTTGCACAAAGATGGGGCTTCTCCTTCAAGTTGAGCTTATGACCTACTACAAATCTAGGGAGAAAAGATCCTTTTCCATAGATCTGCTGGCTCACCAGCGCTCCCGGTAGGGTGTTGGCATGGTTGATATCTGCCTCAATTTGTGCAGATTTCACGTTAAATAACGTGTGTACTCCTAGCAGGCTGCTGCACACAAATACCTACTAGGAATTGTGTTTTGTAGCTTTCTTAAATTGCTTATTGGAAATGAGGGCAATATGCAATTTTTGTCTGTAGGAGGAAATTTCATGTTTAAGTTACATGATCTATACCTAATGTCTAAATTACCTGTGCATGCAAATCCGCACTATAGTATATATAATCCATCCTTGTGAAACATCTAAAATTAAATCTGTCAACGTACGTGTACAAGAGCTTTTTAGGAGTGGCAGTTACAGATTTAACATTCATGCATGTAAAATTGACATAAAAATTTAAATAAGAGCTGCTTTTAAAAATATAATCCTTGAAGTTTACCCAAGCCTTTGCAAAACTGGAATCTGATCCTATGAATACTTTGAGCTGAAAATATTCCTTGAGGTTTCTGATTAGCACTCATGGTAGTGGATGCTTTTGACTTGATACTAAATTTGTATTCCTGGATTGTTAAACTGGAAGTCCCTCAATTTTAATTTAGCGTTTCAGCATTTTATGTTCTCTGATGAGCAGAAGTTTCAAAAATAGCTAAACCAAATCTCCGTCGTATTTTTTTGTCTGAATTTGCACTTAGTTCAGGTTCACTGCTAACAGCTCTTGTCCTTGCTTTAGTTGGTCTAGCTTCAACTGCCTGATTATGCAGCTGGTTTCATTCTTTTTGTTCTGCTTTGAGCATCTATCTGTCTCATCACTCCTGTGTGTGTATTGTGCCCATAAACGTCATCTCTTCATTTATGAATCCTCTTGAACTGAAAAGGGCAACCCAGTAAACCCCATCCATGGATTCTCGTTTTCTTCCTGGCACTTTCTCCTTACACTTAAATGTAAAACAGCCACTAATATCGCCCCATTCACATTTTGACATTTCCATCTCTTCACCCTGTGTTGATTTTATCAGACTCTTCTTCCAAGTATCTGCCCAGTCCTTTATTTCTTCCCCTTTTCAACTGCATAATGCATGAGAACAGAAAGTGTCTCCTCTGTGCCTGGTGACAGCCCGTGCTGGTTGCACACTGGAGGCAGCCTGCAGCCGGCCCGTGATTGACACTAATGCACTGATAGCAGTTTCCTTGGGATGCTGGCATTGTGCTGTTTGGGGGAAGCTGGTCAGTACGGAGAACAGGAGCCGTGTCACTGATGCTGCCTGTCAGTGATTCACAGTGATCTCTTCAAGTGCCCTATTTTTAGAAACAGCGTTTTCAGATAAACGTTTTTCCGATTCCAGAGGCATTTTGACATGCTGACAAATAAACCTTTACCTTGCCGGGGGGTTTAAGTTGCATCCCTAACATTCTAGAAAGTGCTAGTCATTTGATTTTATAATCCTTTCTATGAATTATAAAGATGGCGAGGACCAAATAGGCTTAGTCCTGTGCTGCCACTCTATCCAGACACGTAACTGAGTCAGAAAAGGCACATTTAGAAACCAGGAGCCCCTTGATGTGTCTGGCAAGCTTAGCTCTGAAATCCTCAAAAGAGATCTGTCTTCCTTTTCCCTCTAAATTTAGATGAAGAATTTTTACATCCTTGGAGGAGAGAGGGAGGAAGGTGGGGACGGATAACACCGCGCTGAAAGCCGATCGTAGCGCTGTCGGATGCCCAACACTTTTCTGTGTGGCTTCTCCCGCGCTCCCCCTGCGCTTGCAGCAGCCTCCGCTGGTGAGCAGCCTGCGCAGGAGGCTGCCGCCCGCGGGTCCTAGGTCAAGAACCTTAAACTCATCTCACCTTTTCTTTTTAGGCATTCAAGCCAATGTTTTAGGGGCCTCTCTGTCTTCTACAGGACCAGGTAGAATTGCTTTGCCATAGGGCTTTTGTAAGCAGGCCTTTGGGGACTCACGGGTTTGGGTTTGGGGTGATTTTGTCCCTGTGCAGAACGTGCAGAAGTGGTATTGCTTGCCTACTGATAGAGAAAGGAGCTTGCCAGCTCTTTGTGGCTTGCTGGCATTTCTGAAAGGAAACCGAGCAATGGGACTTAGGGGTAATTACGGCCACAAATATTTTAATCTGGATTTAATAAGGAAGTCACCCTTTTTGACTCACTATTTTTAAACATCAGTAGTGGTAGTGTGTAATGGCTCACCCCAGCAGTCCAGAGTGCTTGTTATTAAGGACTTGTGCATTTTGGATTAGTGCTTCCCACTGAGAAATTTTAATTCCTGTTGCCAAAGAATTCACATAGCCGTGTATGATTAGCAAATCTAAAGGATTAAAATAACCGCATAGCAGGGTTAATACGCTCCCAAACTATTGTTGTTACCTCAGGGACAACAGCACAAAACAAGGGGGCTCGTGGTTAATAAATCTGGCTGTGTTAGCATCGCTGTGTGCTGGAAGCAAAGCTTTTAACATCATTAAATGCCAGCTTTTTGCTTCAGCGTTCAAGGCCGGTTCCTCTGTTTGCATCTTTATCTACAGAAGTGGATATCATGGAGATTTTGTGAGATCTAAGTATGCACTCTATAATTATGTCTCCAATTGGAATGGCTGTGGGCTGGAATTGAAAGCACGAACAGCACAAGACTGAACTGACTAAGCAGATGAGAGAGATGCATTTGTTCACAAGTTTCCAGCAGACATTGGACATTTCTCCACAATTTTTTGCTCTCCTGGTCTGGATTCAGCAGCTTGCCTTAAGATAGCCGCTCCTCACTGAGATGAGCAGAAGGCTTCAGTTCTCTTTGAGCCTTCCATGCCAATGGATGTGGCTGGCCCAGCTGCCCCACTGCAGGAGGGCTGGGGCTCAGCTGTGTGCCGGGACCTGCCTGTAAATGCCACTGACAAGCGCTGTGAATAAATAAAGCCTGTTGCAAGCAATATCCTTTTAAGAGCCTAATGAAGTTTAAAAGATGGGGAGTACTTACCATAAGCATGTCATTTCAGTGAAGAAAAACCTCTTTGCAAAATGATTTAGTTGTTAGGATTTTTTTTTTTCTTTCGTTTAAGAGGAAGAAGAGAAAACCGAAGCTCCTACTTACAGTAATCTGTTTTTCTCCCTTTTATTTTGTTTTATTTTCTTATCTGCGGAAGCCGTGTAAGCAAAGTTCCTTGCTAGTGCCGGGGATTTGTGTGCTATTTTTTCAAGGTGCGGGTTGTAGAATGTCACACATTCATTTTTAAACACTTTTGCACTCTGGTATGAACGAAGCACAGGGCAGTCAAATGTCAGTGGAAGCTTAGCAGCTCACTTTTCTGCTTCTCTCCACTTCCTTATTAGCTGTGTTTGCAAAAGAGGAGCCTCTTAAGTTCTTGGCTTTGTTACTCTTTTTGGAGCTGGCAGTGTTTCTACTTTGAGGTCTCCTCAAAGACCCAAATTCCCAGAAATGGGACATGTCTGGACACAGTCATTTTTAAAATTACTGCAGCCTAAGTTAAATTACTGCCCCACTCTTCCCTGAGCGCCGATCCTCAGAGCAATTTGTCAAATTCTAGCAGAGGCTGCCATCCTCCCTGCCCTGCTTGGGCCTCCTGCCCAGCTGCCCATTGGCACAGCCTCAGGTCACAATGCTCCCTGAAGCCTCCGTAAACAGCCCCAGGTACAGGCGGCCCTATGGGATGGATGTGGAGATCCCACGTACCTCCAGTGAGCCTTTCCCATTGCTGCCCATGCCTGGTGCCCTCTGCTCTTCCTGGAGCAGAAGTCACCTGCTCTAAGGGCTTTCCTCATTCCCTCTTCTTTGGTGACGTAGTGCTCCTACTGCTGGGGTGATGTGGGTTTGTGCACGATGAGTTACTGGGAGGGACGGCCAGACTCACGAGGCTGGCATCACTGCATTTATTTGACTCCATAACAATATATTAAAAAGCTGTGGGGTTTTCTTTCTTGAAGTTCCATGTGCCCTGCATGTCTCTTAAGTGTGATAATTGTGATTTTTGAGATATTTTCTCATCGTTTTGTTTCTAATGAGGGAAAACTGACCTCAATTTCTCCCCTCTTCAAAATACCCTAAAGGAAGCTAGCCAAGAAGCAGAAGGAGACTCAGACCAGCACACAGAGAGAGATGGGTCCCGTGGCCGCTTCAGACAAGGCCTCTACCAAACTCAGCGCTGTTCACAATGAAGAAGCTTTCTCTTCCAGCTGCCAAGATGTTAATGGATTCAGTAAGTTTAACTTGCTTGCAATGGATATGTCCCCTTTGGAGAGCTCTGGGTTCTTGAAAGGACCTATTCCTATGGGCACAACAGTGAGAAGCTGGGAGTGGCAGTGAGAGGGTTCGTTGCAAAAGCTTGCTAGAAATCAGTTGATGAAATGCTTCTAATACTGCCCTTATTTTACCTCTCAGCTGGGTGGGGAGCATTCCTTCTCACTCTAAATCTACCAAGAAATAATTTATAAAGTGTTTTAATAATTGCATCAGACATTCAAAAAGGCACATGTTCATTTGTTCTTCCGAAACAGTTTTTCCTTTGTGAGTTGATGAGTAAAATCACTTAGCTGACGTTTAGGATGGAAATATCGTTTTCTGTATGGAATTTTTATGAAAGAAAACAGTCTCATGGTTAGAAATGAAAAGACATCATTTCTTCTTTTGTCTGTGTCCTCAGTTTATTCTTCACTCAACTTACGTAAAACTAATAGTAGTTAATAATTGTAAACCACTCAGACCTCTGTAGCTGGAAGACTCTGGGCAAAGCAGCACTAAGTTACCCTTTAGCCTCATAGATCCAGGTTGAATGCATGGTGGACTGCATGGTGGATTTGTAAACCTTTTCGTAATAAATAAATTTTAACTTAGACACTATGGGAATGTCACTTCTTCTTTTGATGCTTACCCTATAGTTTGAAGAAGGTTCAGCTCTGAAAGCAAAATGCGTACTTAAAATTCTTGTTATTTTTTAACATCTTTAGTGAAGTGTTTTTCCCCTAATTACTAACAAGGAATTGCCTATGATTTAAAAAAAAAAAAGTTTCTTATCACTGAAACCTTTCTTTGTAACCTCAGATTGATCGCTACAGGCTGAGTGAATTTCTCTTTTCCCTCTGTCTATAGGTCATGTCAAATTCCATCTGCATGCATTGCTACTGTCACTCTATGTAACATACCTGTGAGATGGATAAGTAGGTGTTTGGGACCGTCAAGGCTAGCAGTGAACACTTCTCTCTGATATTAAATTGAATTGACTTAAGATCTGATTTTCTCAGGAGCTGAGTAGCTGCGCCTCCTAAAGAAGACAGCATGAGTTGTCAGTGCCTCGTATCTTTGAAAGACAGGATAGCAGAGGGCAGCATTGTAACAGGCAGCCTAGAAACAGCAAAGGTAGTTTGTTTGAAATGTATGAGGAAAACAAAGTTTTTCACTTTGCTTTGGAATCTGGTTTTTTAAAACTTGGTTTTGTTGTTGTTTTTTTTTTTTTCCAACCAGAAAGTAAGAGAAGAGCCTGTAATGTGACCTCATTTCTTTCCTTGATATTTTGAGAGACTAATTAAAACAGCTGAGTCATTTGCTTGAAATAGCAACTATAGGAAATGTTATATCTAATTTTGTAAGAGAAGCATACCTTCAGGTTTTCTTTTTTGTTCTTATAAATCAGTAAGTCCTTTGCTTGTCTGACATCATTGCAGATTTTATCACCACCTCCCTCTGTAGCACTGCCTGATTCATGGGCTGATTCTTTTTTTTTTTTTTTTTTTTTCCCCTCTTTATATCCATGAGCAATAATCACTGGTAAGCCTTCATGATTTCTCCACATTTTTTTTTTTTCTGCCAAGTCCAGGATGCTGAGGTGTTGGAGGTAAGTTCTCTCCTGTGCAAAATGTGTGCACGTGCTGATGCCAGAATTTTATGGGTTTGCAGCTGATCATATAGTCAGGAAAAAAAAAAAGAAAAAAGAGTAAAAGCCTTTCTTTTAAAAAAATTACTTTAATGGAGTTTAATACTTAAAGGTTTTTATATGGGCCCGCTCCTACTTTTGAATAACATAATAGGATTACTTTGTAACTCTCCTGCTAACTAATACAGTTTTATGGGGGCTATTCATCTATTCATGCTAGCTTTTGAAATCAGCTCTGTCTCTTAAGCAAGAGTAAAATTCCGTCTTAAATGTTCCTTTTACCTCACAACAGAAAATAGTGCTCATCAATATCTCATGATAGGTGCTCATCCTCTCCTTCTTGACCTCAGTTATGAGACTATGAGGAGTCTGAATTAGCTGTAGGGGAAATACCCCTGCCCTCTACTGTTAAAATGCTTGTTCCTTCACCAACTGCTACCTCATTGCTTCGGAGGGAATGTCTTCGGAAATGTTCAATATCAGCTCTTGCAAATGGTGCAGTCCATAAATTCATGCCCCATTGGCCATGGGCAGATTGCTTGATAGACATGTTTGTTGTAATTATGTCTGGAACATCTCTAGCCTCTGGATACAGGCTGGGTGGAAAATGGATTGTGAGCAGCCATGAGGACTTGGGGGTGTTGGTTGATGGGAGACTCAACATGGGCCAACAGTGTGCAGTTGCAGCCAGAGGACGAAATGTACTGCATCTACATGGGGTGGGGGAGCAGCAGGGTGATGGAGGGGTTTGTGCCCCTCTACTCTGCACTTGTGAGGCCCCAACTGCTCTATTGCATCCAGGCCTGGGATCCCCAGCACAAGAAGGGTGTGGAGATGTTGGAGCTGGTCTAGAGAAAGCCATGAAGATGTTCAGAGGGCTGGAGCAGCTCTCTCCTATGAAGACATGCTGAGGGATCTGGGGTTGTTCACACTGGAGAAGAGGGGGCTCTGGGGAGACCTCAGTGCGGCCTTCCAGTGCCTAAAGGGGCCCTATAGGAAAGCTGTACTCTGTCAGACAGTGTGGTGATACGACATGGAGCTGTGGCTTTAAACTGAGAGAGGGGAAATTTAGTGTAGATGTCAGGAGGAAATTATTTATTCAGAGGGTGGTGTCCCCTTAGCTCCCCAAAAAGGTATGGGTGCCCCATCCCCAGAGGGGACCAAGGCCTGGTTGGATGGGCGCTGGGCACCCTGAGCTGGTGGGGGGCAGCCAGCCCACAGCAGGGAAGGGCTGGGGGGCTATAAGGCCCCTTCCAGCCAAAACCATTCTGTAATTCTGTGATGCTGTGCTGGAGCAGGGAGACTTCAGATCTTGCTGAAAAGTGGAACAGAAACAAGCTCTTAAATTTTCTGGCCCAAAGATAAGCTCTTTATCCCCCTTTCCATCCCAGAATGATACTTGTTATTCAGGCCAGTTTCTTACTGGTACTTAAAAAAGTTTTAACTGCAGAGTTTTTATGGACTCAGCCCATGTTTCTTCCACAACATGGAATCGGAATAGATGTTTGCTAAAAGACAAACTAGTCCAACATTATTCCAGTTTGTCTAGTTTTACCCAAAAGTCATGTGAAGCGAGGTGTATGATTTTCTCATATGAAGTCTTAAAAAAAAAAAAAAAAAAAAAAAGTATATTTATCTTAAATCTCTTAAAAGTAAATGCTGATATTTGCAGTATTTGAGACCACTCCTTATCTTTCAGGAGAGTTTGGAAAGCAGTGTCATTTTCCTCGGAGTGGCACAGCATGGCCACATGCAGGCACTGACTCAGTGCAGGGTTATGGAGCAAGGTGACAAATGGCAGTCAAGGAAGACCTAAGATTATCCCACAGTATCTGTGCACCGACCAGAAAGGTGTGCAAGGGGTTATTATTGCACATAAATTTTGTGCAATTTGGCAACCCATCTGTGTGATGAGAGAAGCAGCAGTACATCATCTCAGCAATGATGTGCTGCTACATCGTGCATGGAGGAGACTGCTTTCCAAATGATCCAGAGGAGTGATACTGGTACAGTCCAGGTGGATAGCCTTAACATTACTGGCAGAGACACACTGTAGGTGCCTTTTAGGATGCTTTAAGGAATTGAGATTTGCATTAGTAGTGGTATTGTTACTGTGCTCTCACTAGCAAAAACAAGGAGAGAAAGGGAAAACTTGGTTGCTACTCAGGTTGTTAATGATTATCTTTAATCAAGATCCATCTAAATTCATACCTCTTTGTATCCTGCATGCTTTTGCGATGAAATGCAAAGGTATTACAGATTTGCCATAGGTCAGAATATACAGTTGCATCAAGATCTCGTTGTTACTGCTGCTCCACAGATGATCTTCACTTTTGGGTAGGATGTATTCTAAGCATCTGTAGGATCGTGACCATGAGACATATTCTGACATGTTTTTCAGCCAAAAATTCTAAAACTAAAGAGTAACAAAGTAAAAAAAAAAAAAAAAAAAAGTCAAAAGACCCAAATCCCTTTTATTTTTTTGGTCTTTCATGCTGATTTCCTATTTTTTCAGAGTTGTTTTCTTTAAAAAATTTTGAAATAAATTAGCGAGTGTCATTTTCATAACAGGGAGGAACATCCACCATTCTGCATGAGTAGGGTGGCCTCTTCTGCTGCTCCTGTGTATAGAGAATTTGAAATCAAGTTTTAATCTTTGATGTGAAGTCCTCTGTGGAAGTGTCTCTGTGACTTGCACACACTGCTGGTGGGTACCTCTGATCCGCAGCACTGCGTGTGCATCTTTCCTACAACAGCCACCTGGCTGACTTTGAGAATAAGCTCTCTGAAAGTCTGAATTCACCTCCCGTCTCACAGATATGGTTCATTTCAGAAACCTTTGTTGGAAACAGTTGTAATCAAATTCACTGATGGAAGCGATGTGTCCACATTTAGATGCCTGAGTAATGTATAGTTGGCAATTCCTGGAGAAGCTGTGGCCCAATGTCCTTTTGTACTCCCAACTTTCAGGAAATTGGAGGATTTACTCTGGGACTCTGGTCAACCAAAGTATTCTTGATAATGCTTATCTTCCCCATCTGTAAAAGTGGCCACGTTCCAAGTGTGATACAGAGAAGGTCTTATTTAGGCTAGCTAACAGGGAAGAAAGTGGAAGAGGTCCCAGATGAGAGTTGCATTAAAGCAGACTAAGCTATGAGAAATTGCATTATCTTAATGTAGTGTTTTCATATGGTCAAAGTCTGACAATGTAGCAGAAGAATGCAAAGTGGAGCAAGTTCGTTATAAGTTGATTATAAAGTGCTTAGGAGGTAATTCTGAAGACTTTGCGAAACTCCCTAGGATAGTGCCTTCTTTCATTCACTCCATAGAAGAAGCTGAAGTTTATTAGTGGTGTTTTTTCTAGAGATACAAAAATTGCTTCTGAAAATTCTTTGATGTATACTGACTTTTATCTACTTCTGCTGGATTATGGAATACTTCTTCCTGTGTTTATCTATTGTCATCTTTCTGATGTACTGAGATTTGTATTAGCTTGTTTCCCAACATTTTGAGGAGGAGATAAATGTCTGTAAGTCTAAGAGTGAATGCAGAATGATAACAAAAGAATATACATTCAGAAATGATGGATTATCATAAGAATGTACATGTATGCTATTGTGGATATAAACAATCTCGTACATTTGCTAGCAAGGAAAGTTTCTGCTGTGAAGATGTGGAGCCCTGCCTCCTTTCCATAAATATTTGATCAATATGGGAATTATTTGTGGATTTGTTCCAGAGAAAGCTAATGCTTTAGATGGGAGAAAGTAGGGATGTATATCCTGCTAAAAGAACCCATCTCTCAGGGGAAAAGATTATAGGATTTGCTATTAAGTGTTCTGCATTGAAGAACAATTCCCTTCTTATCTTGTATGGTTTTAACAAAAAATTTGCTACCCTGCCTGTGTATTTGTGGTACTGGTGTACACTGTGCTTAGCAGGCTTATTTTACTGTTAATAATGCATTTTACTCTCTGCAGTTTGTATTTTGGGTGTTGTTTTTAAGTATCTTTTTCTTAGATGTTCCTTTGGTTTAAAGAAAAAAAAGAGGTCTGTAGAATATAGTCCTATATGTGTAGGAACACACTGATTTACAAAAACTATAATACTATATTTGGGGTCTGAAGTGTTTATATTAAAGAAAATCCATCATGATGACATTGTAATAAATGTAATATGCATGTTGAGATGAAAAATATAATTCATTTTGATAAGCCTTATATATCCCATATTACTGTGTTCTTTGAGGAACATTCTCCCTGTTCTTTCTCTCTCTTAATATATGTCTAAAGTCTTTTCCTTATGTCTTTCCTACCTAGCATCACCCTCTCCTTGTTCATTTTCTGTCCAAAGCAAAACCCTTCAGAGCAAATCTTTGTTGAATTCCTACTACTCAGGTACTAGTGCCAGACTTTTTTTTCTTTTCTAAATTTTCTTTACTTTTGTGCATTTCCTGATATGACCTATAGACTGAATCTGCTGAGTATGAGACGAAGCTAACCTTGTTTTCATTTTTTGTAACTTTTTTTTTTTCCTGCTGATCTTCTGTTGATTTGCAATGACCCGTGTCGTGTGGGTGAATGGAATTCCATCTCAAAGTATCATCAGACACAGTTCCATCGACCACGCTGTTAGGTAAGACAGGTATGGTGGTATTTCCTTCATTGCAGAGAAAACACATTGCATCTTGCAAAGAACCTAGAGAATGCTGTTAAGTGGCTGGGCTTCAAAATCATAATTAATCCCGTGATCATGTACTGTGTTAATTGGAAAGTCTTTGGTTTCACTCATGCTTTCTTATCACTATTAATTGATTCTATTTATTTTTTTTTTAAGAAAAGACAGTTCAAAGTATACGGATGTATGTGGAAATCAGAGGGTAGGTTTGGGAAGTGAGCCCAGCACCTTCAGCTTTGCTAAGAGTTAAATGCTAAATATTGCAGCAGTCTGGAATGAATGTGACAGGGTAATGAAAAGGCAGAATCTGAGAGGTGGAGGCTGTGCTGTGGCTGCTGGTCACTTTAGAGGGAGATGGTTGTGTGCTGCAGTGTGTGCAGCTCCTAGCTTTTGGATTTTTAAAAGTATGTTAGTACAGTAAGTTAACAGAGAGAACAAAATTGACAGAAACTGAAAGCTGATAAAAAGAAGTTATTCAGAAACTTACTGGAGGTATACCCTTGAAAGTGAGTAATAACAGCCTACAACTTCGGGCTCTCCCTGGAGGATGCTGCCTGCGCGTGGAATTTGAAGAAGGCAATTCCTCTGCTATGAATCAGAAAGATGATATGTAGTTGATCAGAATCTAACCAGTGGTATTTATGAAACCTGTCATTTTGGATTATCTACGGTAAATGTTCAGTTCCAGACACAGTAATCTACCATGTCTGCTTTAAACATTACTCTGGGCACGCTGAAGGCCTATAGTTAGACCAGGAAGAAATTACAACCAAGCACTTAAGTGCTTTGGCTTACAGACTAACAGCCAGAGAGGCTTGGAGGGACTGCCACAAAACATACATTTATCCTGCTATATATCAACATGCCTGATGGCAATGAATAAGCCCTCTTTTGATGTGATGGAGAAGGAGTCGTCTTTTCCAGAAGGTTTCTTCTTGTTTCCCAGAGACTTCTTGTCAACAGGAAAGTCTGAAGGTGGATTTATCTTTTGACTGTGCTTTAGAAACAGTGCCCAGATCTGCATTTTGTTCTCACTGATGCTCAGCATCTGTGAAAATGGGGACTAAAGTCTGAGGGAGGTGTTATTACCCAGAGAGCAAGCTGCACACTTCTGGTGCTGTTACCCCTGTATCCAGAGAGCAAGCGGCACACTTCTGATGCTGAAGCTCAAGGAGTAATAGAGTCAATCTGTGCCTCTCACAGGGCAAAGAAAAAGCCAAAAAGAGCTCTCAAAGCTTTCAAAACACCACATTTAGAGAGGAAAAATAAATTGGGGATTAAAGTAGTCTTGTGCTTATGTATTCAAAACTCTACATATTCAAAACTCTTTAAAATTTAGCATCTACTAACCATTATCTCTAAGCCAAGTAAGGATTGATATCCTTGTCTTACACACAAGAAGTTAAGCACAGAGCATTTTAAGACATGATTTACACACGCTGCTCACTCTTGAGTTGCACCTGCACTGAGCAGCCACAGGTGCTGCAAAACAGCTCTTAGCACCATAGAAATTTCTATCTTGTGAGTTGTAGACAAATGGAAAGCCTGACGTTCTGACCTCTCAGACAGATTTACCAGACATTGGATGATGCTGTATGAGCAAAATAAGTTTAATTTTTGACGTTTATTAATTCCTGGGAAAGAAAAAGATCTTAAAAAGGGCATCAGTCATCTCACCACCAATATCTGTCTCTGGGCACCACCTGTGCTTCAGTGCTATTTGTTCCCATCTGTTATGCCTTCTGCTAATAAATGTTCTTTATCTGCCATGCTAGATGACTCCCTAGGCTTGACTGTGACATGATTTCTTGATATTAAGATACAGGGGATTTTTTTTGTGCCTCTGCCATGTCTTGACTAACACTTTTTTATGTAATGCATGTTTTTAGCTCTGTAATTTAACTTAGAGTTGTAGATTCCAAGACTTACTGGCCTTCACAAGCATCTTTGCTGGGAAAGAGAATATTTAGTACTAGCAAGTTAAGGAGGCAGTTTCCCTGCTTTTATTTCAGTAAGGTTCATGCTATATGACTAATGTAAAGTCTGAGTGGGAGATGGTACTACATTAGAGGTTGTTTTTGGAGAAAATGTGCATGGCAGGCAAAGTCATTCAGCAAATGACATCAGTGCAGGCTCTTCAGGAGAGCCAGCCCACCTTCCCCTTGCATCCTTTCATGTCATCTTCTCAATTGACTTATGCAAGAGTATCCTAGAATCCCCCCAGGAGGATAAGGACAGTAGTGCCTCGTGTTCCTTGCAGATGGGTGGAACAAGCAGAGAAAGCTCACTGTTGGGATGTCTTCAACAAATCCTGGCTTGCATTAAAAAAAAAAACAAAAACAAGAAATTTGCTCTGAATGTTGCTCCTCTGTAGCTTGGGTGGGCTTTTGCTTATGCCTATCCAGCATGCTCTGAGTTTATCCACAACCCTAATGTTTGAAGAACAGAAAAGATGCTTAGATGCTGATGTTGCTGATATTGCTGCATTAGCAAGTCTGACTTTATAAATTGCATTGAAAACTTGAAAATCAATGCCTCAGTCTGTTCAGTGCTGTCTTGTGGCCATATCAATCTTGAAGAAATTGTGGGAGAGTCTTTCAGTTCACTTCAGTTCACTGTGCTAATGTTGTCCTGCAGCAGAGGTGTCTGACATTGAGGGCTGATGCTTGAGCTGAATTTCCCTTACATTTCTTTTTGACTACAGATAATCAAAACTGTCCCAGGCTTTAGTGGCATTTTGTTGTGAGTGCTGGTTTGGAGTTGCCAGTAGCTCTTCAGCTGATGAATTGCTCTGTAATGCAGGCAGATCTGCCTCTTTTCACATAGGTTTGGAGAAATCCACACATCTGAAGAACTGCACAGTGACGTGTGAACCCAGTAGTCCCAGTTTTCAGCCCACATCACCAAAGCAGCTTCCTTACATTTATAGCAGGGTTTTCCTGTGTGCTGATGGAAAAAAATAATTGTGTTCAGTAGTTCTATTAAGATTAAAATGCACTTTATGAAGTATTTACCAAGTTATCCTTAAAAAATGTTTTTAAATATAGAGAAAATAATTTACTCCAGCCGTATGGCTTCTTTATAGCCTTTGAAATGAACAATATATGCTTTGCTCTGTCAAAACTGGTCTCAGAAGGCTTTTTGTTAAGGAACTTGCCTGTTATAGCTCACTTGATATCATTAGGCAAATGATGTTTTGACTTTGTTTTGCCGTACCGCTGATTGTATTGTATGTAGCACATTATAGATGGATATTTACCATAAAATCAAGCCTTGTGGCACTCAAAAAGCAAATTAGTTTTACCAGGTACCACCTTATTTATCTCTGGTGAAAGGAGAAGAGATATTAGCCATCCTGTAGTCAGCCTTGGAAGATGTCAAATAATTGGCAACCCTTACTCTAGTAGAGACACTGAACATGCATGCAATAAAATCCATCACAAACACTGCTCAAATTTTATTTATTTTTTGCTAAAGATATTAAAGCAAAACTTTTGAAATAAACTCTGTGTATTCAATACTCACGTTAGAGCAGCATTGCTTTCACTTGCTTGAGGCCTAAGTTAGTTTTCTAATCTGAAGGCAACATTACAGTGTGTGTCTGGATGTCTGTCTTGCACTACTGAAGTCTTTTCTTTATGGAACAAGATAATTTCTGTAAAAGAGTCTAAAGTTTCCATCCCAAAAGCTGCCCCAGCTGGGCACATTCTCTCCTAGGAGCAGGGGTTGCATGGGGCTGCACACAGCTGTTTGCAAGGCTGGGGCTCTCAGTTTCTCAGCTCTGCTTCACCCCGTCATTGTCATCAACAGCATTTTTTTTTTTTTTTTCTGTGGCGGGAGACATTTATTTCAGTTGTCTGGGAAGCAACAAAAGTGTATAATAGAAGGTATTGTTGCAGCAGGTGAGCAATATTATCTTGCCCTCAGGGTTACCCACCAAATGGGGAAAGATGTCACCTCATCGGCCTCTGCGTGAGCTTTTCTCAGCATATGGTGCTGCTTTTTGTTTCTCTTGGCAGGGTAGGACCTCACAGTTAACTTCAACAAGTTTATGATTACTTCTCCAGCACAGCAGAGAGTCACAGAAGTGCCATTTCATAGGCAGGGAGAACTTGAGAATATTGAAAGTGTAGTCAATATTGCTAAATTTTATTATCTGCAGTTCCACTACCAAAGAGATAAGCTGAGATGCCTGAAGAGTTCCACAATCCAGCAAGTTGTGTGTAAGCCGGTGAGCCATCGATTTAACATCTTCCACAAAATTTCAGGGCATTCCATGTACTGTTTGACTGATAATGAAAGTGCCAGCTTCCAGAAATCAAAATATCTACATTGGCAACTGGTGTCTTAGCGTGGGGACAAAGCACGTTGTGCTAACAAGGGCTAACAAGCAAGCTGACAAAATATTTTGCTGTTGCAGCTGCTAGCATTAGAAAAGAGCCTATTACGAACAGTGGGTTTCCAGCAGCACACAGAATATCTGTTTTGTTTATGGCTGCACAAAAAAGACTTTAGAAAATTGGAGATGTCTGTAGGAAGGAACTGGGGCCCTGAATGCTCTGCCCAAATGAGACTTCAGAAGCACTCAGTTGATTTTCCTTATCAAAGAGAAACTGTAGAAGTGATTTGATCAGTGCCTGTACAGGTCAAGATTTCAAATACTCAGAGGGCTCTTTAATCTAACAGGGGGTATAATAAGATTCAGTGTCTGGAAACTGAAGCTTAGCAAGATCAAATTGCAATTAAGAAATGTTTAGACAGCAGGGGTAATTAACCATTGGCACAACTTTTGGGGTCAGGATGAATCACAGTCTCTTGAAATCTTCATATTTGGATTATTTCTTGATGCTAGTCTGTCTTTGGCATGAAGTCAAATGTGTTGGTTTGTGTTCCTATCAACAAAATGAGGATGTATGACTAGAAATAAGAAGGGCATATGAAACATCATCCTAAAAACCCGATTTGCAGTCTATATGTTTACTAGTTTCTGAGTATACAGTAAATTATTTCAGGCATCTTTCAGAAGAGTTTTTTTAATTCATTTGCTCATCTCATTGAAAACTCAGGAGAGGCACAAGTGCTCCAGAAACACCAGCAAAACTTCAGTGTCATCCCCACTCTAAGAAAGCAGGGTGGGTGGTTGTGAGATGGGGGCAGACAGGAGGGACTATTGTAAATTTCTATGACTTGCCATCAGTACAACCATTAGAGCACGATGTGACGTGGCTTTGGGGCTGGTGGTTCTGTTGGCTTTTCCAGTAACAGCAGCACCAGAAGGCACAGTTCCCTTCTATTGCTGCAGCCAGCAGAAAGGCAATGCAAAAAAACCAAAGATAGGTAAATGCTTGAAGGCTGCTTTGTTGACTGTCCCAATGAGAGATGGATTTGCTACTGCCTCCCCTCCTACCCTCCATTCCAGATTGCTCACAAATTGCTATGAACTGCACATCTTGAGGGAGGGGGCAGTGCCTTGCCTGGGCGCCTCATTAACCATGCTTAGGTTCCGACTCATGGTGTGATTACACTGGGAAAAGGAACAATATGTTTCTGGAATTGGGCTTTATTAGCAGAACATATGAACATTAAACTCGCCTCATACATAACAATTTATCTCCATAATAATCTCCTCTGATTTCTTCCTAGTCCCAGATAAGATGCTTGTGGAAAGAACTGGCAGCTCTCCCGAGCTGGGGCAGGTCTCAGACTGTGGTATTCTATTGGGCAGTGCACAGAGGCCACCTGGGATGTATTTGTCACAGAAATCCAGCAGAGGTGGTGTTCCCTGTGTCGGCTCTTTGTGCTCTAGGGTTGAGAGCAGGATGACTCGGACTGTGTGACATGGGGTTTTTTTTTGGAGAAGCAGTTGGCTGGATAAGAAGTGATGCTGCAAGAGTTGCTGCTGCAATCAGTAGATGTTGTATTTCTGTCTGACCAAAGAGACCAGAAGCACAGCTGTCACCATAAACTTAAAGGCTGGAGTCAGACCCTTTGCTGCTGAGCTTCATCTACTTCCAGTCTAGTTTAAAGGAAGTTATTCTGGAGAGGGGACTGTTTTCACCCCTCAATTGAATACTACTGGGAGCAGAGACCCAAAAATACCAGAATTAAAAAATGTGAAAAAGAGAGAAATTAATAACACCCTGCTAATCTGAGCCCTGCTTTACAAATAGGCTGTGCTCTGCATGTGCCCTGACTCTATTAGCACTAGTGCCACACGTAAGTTTTAAGTCTCCCTCTCGAATAGGGATGTAGTAATGTCTTTTAATTGGGGCTGATAAAAATGTGGCATTACTTGTAGGTTCTTCAGAGAAGCCAATTGTGAAATTGGGTTTGTATTAAACCTAATGATGGAAAATTAAGCATAGTACGTCTGTCGGAAATGGTCCACGATAAAAATCTTCTCCTCTCCATTACAGGAGGTTAATAGGGAACAGGGGAGGAAAGATGCTCTGGGAAAGCGAATCCAACTAGGGGAATTAATAAGCCTTGAAATTCCCTCTGTTCGGAGTTCTCACACTATCATTAGACAGAGCATTAGGGATGATTATACAAATGCTTTGGATGTTACTCTTCCTTAAATCCCAAATTTATTCACATTTTGTATGTGATGGTTGCTTCACTAGAGCCATAGGTCTGTAAATCTTGTGCTGTCCAAGGAATGTGACTGTTTATGAGAACCTTGGCTTGAGAAATCTTTAAATCCAGTAGCCTCATCTTCAGAGTGAATGATCGATGTGGTGGCCATGTATTTCAGAAGCAGCAGGACATGTTCAGCATCTCTGATAATTCAACCATCAGACTCATCTATCTATATCTGTATCTATATCTAATGTTCTATATCTATATCATCTGTATCTATGTATTGTAGGGATAATTTACCCCATGGCAGTGCATCCACTGCAGTCATTCCTTTTTCCTTCTCGTAGTCCTCCAAAACAGAGCATATGCCTGTCTTGATAACTTACCTCCAATATAACAGTAAACCAGCTAGAGCATAGTTCGTCAAGTTTTGTCATGTCACTGTTTTGTCGTTTGCTGAAAAGGCAATCTAATGCCCTATTCTGTCTGCTCCTGCCCAATTTTGCAATGAGGAACAAAGCAGAGATCCTGACTGCTTATGAACAAAACTTCATGGTGGTTTCTCAAGGATAACAATGTTTACAGTAACTCTGGACATATTTCTACCTCTCAGAAATCACCCTGAAATTGCAACTCGATTCATTTATTTTTTTATCCCTCCTAAAACATGACTGTACTATTGCTGACAAGGAACAGCGTTCGGGCTCTTTTTCAATCTGCGTTCTGTATGAAATGAGCCTGGTGTATGCAGTCTTCTACTTTTTCCTTTCTTTTTCTTTGAGCTGTGGAAGAAGGGTATATTTTCAGTTTGCTAACAGGCCCTTTTGGGGGAAGACCAGAAAGAATCCATGCAGGATGTTAAGGCCTGTATGTACCAAGGAACCCAAACCCATCAGGAAGCACTGCTGTGCTGTGTGGGTGCTGGAGCTCTGGCATGGAAACCAGAGAGGTGTTGGATTTCTTCCCTGGAGATCCCCAAAGGTTAATGGGATGTGGTGCTGGGCAGCAGTGCTGGGTGGCCCTGGTGGGGCAGAGTGGGACCTAAGAGACCCAGAGTGCCTCCAACCTCAACCAACCTGGGAGTCTGTGATCTCAGATATCTGTAACCATAGGAAAAAAACCAACTGTTTCATTTGGTAATCTCTCAATCTGGTCAGTTCTGGTAGATAAACCCCTAAACTGTTCATTTATTCTGAGTTTCTCCTGTTAAGAACAAATATTTGGTATCTCTGGTACGGTTATTTAAGCTTCTGTCAGCTCCACGGGAAGTTTTGCTGTGTCTTTGGAGTTTTGCTTGAGGATATAAGAGATTACAATTCCAACTCTGTAACGATCGATATTTTTACAATATTTCTTTCAAAAAGATCTATATCTATTAAGTTTACATATCTAAATGTTAAGATTGTGCATTCAAGGTAACTGCTTCTATACTTCTTTCTACCTAACGTTACAGTTTTGCAATTGACATGCTTTTTTGGCTTGAATTTACAGAGCATTTTAAATTGCCTCTAACATCTTGTGTGGCTTATCTGAAATGCTGGTGGTTTGTTTGCTGTTAACTTGGGCCCCTTTCACTCATCTCATGCTGTACGCCCCAAATCTTGCTTGAATATCTCCCTCATCTGTTTGTATCTTTTGTTCCTGTTCTTTGCAGGTTTGTGAAGGAAGGTATGTAATCCCAGTGGATCGTTATGCAGAGCTCACACTAAGTTTGCTGTTTCACTATATGTGCTATATCCTTGTGCCTGTTCATTCCATTCCCACCTCTGGGTTTGTCCCTTTGACACAAAAAGCAGTTGAATGGGAATTGGTCTTTCTGGGCAGCAGTCGGCACTGTGTTTTTCGTACTGATTTCTTTACTTTCTTTTGCCTGCACCAGTGAGGTGGTGGAGAGACAAGTGAAGCAGGAATGAGAATGACCGTCACAGATAGGTGAAAGCTTGTTTTGCCTCCCTGTCTTTCAAACAGACAGTAGCCATGGAGAGATGACTCAGCCAACCTTGACTATCCAGACCCACCCGTACCGGAGCTGCGAGCCAGTGGAAATGTCCTACCCACGGGGGCAGTTCCAGCCAGCCATCCGAGTGGCCGACCTGCTGCAGCACATCACCCAGATGAAACGTGGACAGGGCTATGGATTTAAAGAGGAATATGAGGTGAGAGGAACCTTTCACTCGCGTGAATCGGTGGAGAAGTGGCAGTCACAAAGGAGAGATGCTTCGGATGGAAGGTTAACTGTATGCAGAGCTCCTTTCCCTTAATTCACTTACTCTCTTAGTCGTTGCCTTCCTCCATCTTATTTCTGTTGATTAGACTAGGATTTACAACACTGGCAATCTTTGGTGGCTCTCTGGTCCAGAGAAAATGCACTTAAACAAGGCAGCAACCTTGTGTAGTTCAAATGGAGTTTTTCTGTATACTCATACCTCTGTCTCAGTACATTTAAGTGATCTGCTCTTGCAACTCCAATGAAAAGAGAGGTGAGCAGTAAGCTGCCAGTATGAAAGCAGCCCCTCCATTCCCCTGCCACACAGCTGGAGTGACCAGAAATGTAATGCAAATGACAAGAACAATGGCACTGGGGAGGGGTTGGAAGACAATTATACATTTAGAGAAGAAGGAGAAAATAGGGAAATAAGATCAAACATATGTGAGACTTTGCTGTAGCAAGCGATAATTATAATGAATGTAGTAAGCTGGTGGGAAGGCAATAAGTAATTAATATGCATAGTGGCATTAAAACTACTTAAAAATAACTTAACAGCTGTGAAAAGTAAGTTACTTAATGAAAGCAGCTCACTTTTCCACCCTGCAAGTGAGAGTCCATAAGGTTTGTATCCCTGATGCTGGGGTTTGCTGCAATTGCAAATAATCTTTTCCTGGTTGTCACCAGGGAGTACTTTTTTTAATCAGATGGCATCAAAGATTGTCATGACAAATATTTCTGGTAACTGTATGTTAACCAGGGCTATGCACTCATGTGCTGCAATCAAGGACACTAATTAAAGTATGAATTCAAAGAGCTTGGTTAAATATTGAAAAAGGGTAGTAATTCTCTTGGGAGATTTACTTAGCCTCTCTTGGCCTCCACTGCTGTGAACAGTACCCGAAACTACATTCAGCTCAATTACAGATGCCCTCAGATCTAGTTCTTGATGTTCGGGAAGAAAACAGGTGCTGGCATATATGTGATTTTCTGGCACCGGCGTTGGTAGTTATCAAAATAACACATTAGCATGAAAAATGTCAATGCAACTTTCAGCTCCACAAGTTCTGCCTTTCCCAGAAAGTGCTATCTAAATACGTATGTAATGACGATGACATTATATACATTTGCATAATTCCTTCCTTCGTAAGAAGTGGCCTGGAGAATGCCAAAAGCTCTTAAATCACTTGCACTGTCCTACCCTGCAATCAGAGGCAGTTGCCCTAAGTGGCAGTCCTTTTAGTTGGTGGAATTTGGTTTCTAAGCAGTTTTCAGCCACCAACAGCAACACTGCAAATTGCAGGGAGGATGCTGAAGGGTTGTAACTTCTGAGAGGTAGGAAGAGTAGTTTTAAGTTGGCTGGAAAACCTGCCTTGCAGAACATTGTGCAAAATGGTTGGTAAGCTCTGATAAAGAAAAGGCCTGAACATTTATTTTTGTCTCTTAAAATCTGTTTTTATACACTAATATCAATGTCATACGTGTGTGTATTTTTTCTTCTAAGAAGCTGCTTTTCTACCTACTTTGCAGATTGATAGCATACATGGGAGCCTATTTAGTGACATGTTACCAAATAATTGCACTCTCATGAACAATCACTTTGAACAGAACCTATCAGTCATATGTGACAATCTTTTATCTACGTGCATTCCCACTTCCGCTGAGGAATCAGGGAGTTGCATTCAGGCTTTTCTTTGATACTCCTTCACCTGCAGAACACTAGGGCACGTGTTTCACCGATGACATCTTGAAAGGAAGATTTTCAAGTGCTTGCATCTTACATCTAACTCCACACTGAGGGTACGAGCAGGATGGTGATGGTGTAAGTGGTGGCAGCGCTCGTGTGAATTGGCTGGTAACTGAGTGTGAATGTGGGAACCTGTCAGCACTTGCAGTGTGTGCGTTATTTCCTTCTGCCAGCTGCACCTCAGGCCGAAGTGTCTGCTCCTCTTGGTTGGCAGCAAAACGTGTGGGCCACCAGAGAACGATCCGTCACTGACACTGGATGTAGATGGCACTATGTGGGATTAGGCATGGCCATAAACATTTAAACGGGACTTGTTTAACTGCCACCTGTTCCTTTCTCAGAGCATATCAGCCCTGATTTGTTGTGAGCTGCTAGGCTGGTCCCTAACTGTACTGCAAGCTCCAATTACTGTCTGCAGAGATAATAAGCTTAAGTATCCAAACTTCAAATATGATTTAGGGCGTCACTGAAGCATGTTTCTCTTGTGCATTACCAGGACTGCTTGCTTACTTTGGATGCTATGGCTCCTTCCTCAGGTGTCTTATTATTGCTAGTTTTCAGTGGATTGAAAATCACCTCTGGATTTTAACCCATTCATTTCTGGCTGCCCACAGTGCCTCTATCTGCTCAAAAGACCAGACCCTGCAATTCAGCCTGTGACACAGCACTACAAAATGTCAGCAGGATTGCCATTAGATATGCTGTCCTTGAATTACACTGGCTTAAGGCTTTATTTGGCCTTGCTGTGTCCTGAGTGGGGAGCTGAACCGACTGAATTATTTCTTTTCCATTGCTGGTTTGTTGTTGTGTTGTTTTTTTTTTTTTTCCCCTATTTGTTTGTTTCTGGCCAAAGCAGTTTTAACCCTGGGTCACAGCAGAGTTGTGGGAAGAGCTTTGCCACCTCTGCTGAGACAGCAGCTGCAGGGAGAGATTCAGGACTACATGGCAGGCTGTGGGATGGGCAGTGAGGCTTTTAACTGATAGCATTGCACTCAGCAACAATGCTGCAGCATTGGGGTACATCAGTGCAAAGGAATGATTCAGGTTTTCGTGCTTCTAAATGAAAACCAAACTGCAAATTAAATGCCTCCATTGGAAATTTATATTGACTTGCTCTAAGCCTCAGCTGAACGTGAGCTCTTTGGTTATGTATCCAAGTTGTGGTGCTTGGATATTTTGATAGAAATGAAGCTGACTTTTAGAGATCTAGCCCTGTAATTTCAGATAAAAATTAGATCAATTTAGTTTAAAAAGCATCATTATGAATTCCACTGCAGAGAAGGTATTTCAGTGTGCATTTTACTACTCTTCTCTAAAAGAAGAAAAGAAAGGAAGGCTTAAAAATTAAGCCCAGACTTTTGAACACCAACATTTTTTGGTTAATAAATTGAACAAAGAATCCAGAGTGTTTCCTATAGAAATACCACATGTGGGTCAAATTTTGATACCCAGGAGATCCATCTTGGTCTGCCCTCATTCATACAATGGAGAGAAACAGAAGTGTTCCTTTTGAGCGCGTATTTATGAAATATGCTGTGCAAAACCCATTCGGAATGCAGCTCTTTTTCTGGATACAAGTGGATCATAATTGATGTTTTTGCTTTTGTATTTCTAACTCAGTTTTGATTCTCAGTGCTACATTGTCAGTGATCTCATGGCAGAAGTGTCAGTGCTGCACCACCTGTATATGTGCAATTAATCTAGTTTGTACAGCTGCTTGTATAGAAGAAGAGGTATGGTTTGTGTTCCTCACCAAGCAGAACTGCTCTTTGTCTCTCCAGAGATGGAGAGTTTCATGAAAGGTAGAGATTTCTTTGATTTTGAATGAGGTGAAAAATCCTGGGTTCTTCAATCTGTGGAGGCTGTGTAAGGCAAATTGGGAAACAGGAATTTGAATGGAGAATTTCAACAAATCACCTGAAAGGATGGCATTAGTTTGAAGGAGTTTTTTTGGAACTGAAATTATATTCTTTGGCCAAGATAGCCTCCTCCTGGTGAAGTGGTGAGGAAGAATTTACTTTATTTTTTCCTTTTCAGTTGGTTGTGATTAGATGTCTAATGACTGTTGCCATTCTCTGGTCAATCTGCTATAATTTAATATTAGTGGAAAAATAAAGCACCTTTTCCTTAAAGACAAAAATGAACTGTCCTTACCTCTTCTCTTTTACTCAGGGATTTTTTTGTTGTTGAGTGTGGCTTTGGTATTCTTGTGTGTTGTTTTTTTTTTTTTTGTACTCAGGAGATGAGCTTCTATTTGGAAACAGCTGTCTGTAAAGGAAATATATGTGTGATCAAAGCCCTCGCCAATTACAGAGTTTATTACTCTTTCTCCTGGGCTTTTGAATAGGAACTCGCTGTCCCTGTCTTTTGTCAGCAGGCTCATGGCAGTGCTGCAGTGCCTGACATTTTCTGTCCTGGAACCCCTCTGGGGGAAATTCACAATGATTTGGTCTGCAAGAGGGTTGCTCTTATTAAATTTATTTGTAATGCCAGTGTTGTAGATCCTAATAATTGTGTCTCTCTGCTATTGCATTCAGGATCTGTAATAGACCTGGATGGCTTGGGAAGATGAATGTAAATTCATTTTCCAGTTGTCAAACTACCCGCTGCTAGCCAAGGCAGAGTGCAGTGTAAAAACTCCATAATTCCCTTGGGATTATGAATAGTACAGTTTCTAATGTTGTGGTTGATTTTAGTAATACAGGCTCACATTAGGGCGTAGATCTTGGAGAAGGCCAAGAAAACACAGCCAAAGCTGTTTTTTTCCTCTGCTTTGCATTCAGCACAAGTCAAGGCTGGGTTGGCTCCAGCTGCACCAGCTGTGTGCGGGTTATGGCTTTCTGTCTGTAGGGAGACCATCCCTCATGGACAGCTCAGCCCATCTCCCGAGGAGAGCAGGGACAACCTCCAGCCAGACACCATCACAGCTGCCACTTTCCTAGCTCTGCCTTTATGACTTTAAAATCCTTTACTGGACATGTGTTGAAGGGAAAGTAGCTCATTTGCTTAAGTTCAAGCTGTATGGTAAAGCAGCGCTATCTGCTGCTGGTTTCATAGAATCATAGAATGGCCTTGGTTGAAAAGGACCACAACGATCATCCATTTTCAACCCCCCTGCTATGTGCAGGTCGCCAACCAGCAGCCCAGGCTGCCCAGAGCCACATCCAGCCTGGCCTTGAATGCCTGCAGGGATGGGGCATCCACAGCCTCCTTGGGCAACCCCTGTTCCAGTGCCTCACCACCCTCAGTGTTTCCTAGCCTCCATCAAAAGGGTAAATCTGGGGAAGTTGACCGTTTATTTTCATAGTTTGTATGTTTTACCTTTTTTCTGCCTGTTTTCTATAGACATGATCTAAAACTCTGAGCTTTTTGTATTTCCTTAGAGAAAATCAGCGAGTGATTTGTATTACATCACCCCATCACCAATATAGAAATAGCTGAAACCACTGTATGTGCTCAGCTGAAAGCCTGAGCCCTTTGTTTCCACCATCTGGGCTTCCTTAGCTGTGCACAGAATCACAGACAGTCCTCTCTTGGATCCCTGCCCACAGGGATCATCGAGTCCCACCCCTGGCTCCACACAGCACCACCCAAACCCAAACCCTATGGCTGAGGGCGCTGCCCTCCGCTCCCTGTGAGGAGCTGCAGCCGCCATGAGGCCTCCCCTCAGCCTGCTCTGCTCCGTGCCCAGCAAACACAGCGACCACAGCCGCTCCTCTCACACACTGAAGCCCTCAGACCCTTCCCCTCTCTAGCCCTACTCTGGATGCTTTCTTATAGTTTAATGTATATATGTGAAATCTCCGCTGTTTTACAGGAGAAATGAGCTTAACCTGTGACTGTGCAGCCAGAAACCAAGTCTCCTCATCCCTTTAGATCTGTGGTAGCAGCAAGCAGAAGCCAAGGGATGCAAATGGTCTGCACCAAGCTCTGTTTTCTTTGTTAGTAAATGTGCCCTTTCCTCAAGAACAGCTGTTTGCATGGTTGACTACTGAATTATGCAGTATCATTATTTTTGCCCTCTTTTGCCATCGTAACCCACCTGCAGGCACTGTCCAGATTTTTATAAACCCTCCACTGTTGTTTATTTTGCAGGCACTACCTGAGGGGCAGACGGCATCCTGGGATACAGCCAAGGAAGATGAAAATCGCAATAAGAATAGATATGGAAACATAATCTCCTGTAGGTGTTAAGTCACATTACACTGAGCTTTCTGTATGATTTCATAAGCATCTTATGGAAACGGGGTATGCTTGAAAACCTTACTCAAAACTGGTTTACAGTGCTGAGCATGCAGTAGTTCAATCTGATTATTACATGCTATGCTTAATTCTAAGATTTTTTTGTTTCTATTTTTTTCGTAGGCCTTTTTAATGCTTTTTTAAATCTATCTTTTTATTCAGATCAAGGACAAAATCATCTTTTCAGATTTTTACAGTAGGTGATTTTGCCCATTTTCCATTCTTTTTTATATTGTATAACTCAGATCTTTCAGTGCCACAAGCAGGGTTGAAAAAGGAGATGTGGAACAGTGGTCAGTAAGCAGTGGAGCAGCTGTTCCTTGTCTACACAGAGCTGTTTTGATGACTAGGACAAGCTTAGCTTCTGCTAATCATAGAAAGGCAGTTGAGAATACACTAGAAGTTCGGAGTTGTATTTAATTCTATAATAAATTATAGTTGGTGTTATGGAGATATTAATATATTGCAGAACTGCAGGGCAGGGGAGGACTCTATAAAACCACTTAGATCTATTTTGTTTCCATCTAAGGACAAGTTCTATGTCTGTCATTTTTTGTCAGATCTTAGTGATTTTTTTTTCCTAAAGATCTCCAAAGTTAAGCTTTCCGAAAGCTCTCCAGGCAGCTTTCCCCTGTGTTTCATTATTCCTTACAATGTCTGGGAGGAATGAGGAAAGGTACAATAAATCATCCTTTTTAAGGGTTGCTAAGCAGTATCAAATTGGAGAAACCAGGCCTGAGACGATCAGAACAAGAAGAATGTAAATAGATGTGCCATACATTTATGTGGCTGGATAAATGTATGGAATACTGTGAAAGCAGAACTAGGTTGCGTGGAATTATACGTTTAGTAGTGTATTTCTTCTCAGGTTAAATACATGCTTTCTGTAGGACAGGCAGACTTTAATAAAGAAATCTTGGTCACACAGAGATGTCTCTCACACAGCTTAACTTTCCTCTCTTTCTTTTAAAGACTTAAAAGAAGTGATTCATGTTACAGTTTTGGGGGAATGGCGCAGAACAGTAAGGAACCTCATGGTAAAGGTGAAGAAGTCTGGAAATGAAAATGAAAGGTTTCTGAGCTCTAATCTAATCCTGCATTTGCTCCTGTCTTTCTGTATTGGTCATGAGCTGGACACCAGTTCCATCAGTCTTTGTTTCTCCATGTGGAAAATAGAAGTGGTGCTATTGGAGCATTGTAGTTACTGTGGGAATCATCTCCCTTATCTTCAGCTGTCTGAAAGCTCTGCCTTGCTGTAAGCTTCCTGTGTTGCTAGTGGCAAAGAAAGATACTTCCAGACAGAGGTTCAATTTGCCTGTCTAGACAATTAGCTTTAGATCAAATTAGTCTGAGAAATGAATCATCCAGCTGTAACAACTGCAAGTTGGTTTTTGAAGGTGGAAGTGCCATAGTATGCTATAAGGCAGCTAACAATGTTTCTTTGGAGGGTTTTGAAGAAGCAGTTGACCTAATGTCAAGGTGGAGGTGACAGAAGTCAAAACTGTGCTAGAGCCAACGTTTGAAACACAAATTTGAGGGATGTGGGAGAAAAAATCAGAAGGTTGTTGAGACAATGGGAAGGCATAGTAAAGAAACACAAAAATAGTGAAAGAGCAGAGGGATGCTGAAGATTTGAAGGTAAATAACAAGTCTGGATGAATTTTTTTCACTTCAAGTATGTATGACATAAAGACATTGAGAAGAAGAGAGTAATTTCTAGATTTAGTAGCGTGCCAAGAAGAGTGATGGAGTAAAATGGGTTGAAATATTTGCTTCACTTTGAAGATGCCTGGAAGAAGGAAGAGAAGTTGCCTAAGGAAGGGGCGTAACATTAATTACACATTTTGTCAAAATGGTGGGAAATTATCAGTAATGTCTTTGGCTAAGTCTTGAACCAGAACCGACTGACAGGTGATGTTGGGCAGCTGTCCTGAGTAAAGGCAGTGGCAGGATCCAGAAAGGAGAATTGACAGCAGAGCTGAAAATAGCAGGAGAGCGGCTCCCTCCGGGCAGATCATGAAAATGAATTGTGCTCTGTGGGTACAAACTGTGCAGAAGCCTGAGCAGAGGAGAGGAGGTGGATAACGATTACAACCTTAGCTGATTTGTTGTGCTAAACCTACAGTTGCTGGTAAAACCCAGAGTATGCACTGACTGCTCTTAGGTAGAACTCTACAGATGGCAATTAACATTATTTGTTTAATCACAGTTGCAATTTCATTAGTTCTGGAACAACGTATTGCATGATTTTTGGGGAGTGAATTGAAAAGCCAGGTTGTAATCTAACTTTTCTAACTGTTTCAGAGACTTTTGTTAATATGTGAGTTTATCAGCCCTTGCAACAAGTAGTGTTGCTCAGGGATTCACAGCAGGTTGGATCTTGTCTTTGCAGCCTCCCATGTAATAGTACACTCACAGGACCTTTTTACTCAGCTCATCTCTTTCCCAGTACTTTATTAACACTGTGCCTCTGTGTGAAAACCTAAATTTTACTGCCAGTCCCAATATCTGCTGCTGCTCTTACATCTGCAAACCAATCTTTGCAGACCAGCTTAAGAGACAGAGGTAGGTAATGGGTGCATTTATCTATGGTTTTATGTTTGATTAAATGTCTAGATATTGATGCTTTGAAGTGCATCAGCGAGCGATGGTTAAGGGAGAGATGTTGCACTTGTGAGTTGAGCTGATCCCATTGCGTAGAAGAGAAAACATCACAAAGCTGTGTGAGACCTTTGCTTCTACTCTATTTCTCCACATATTATCCAAATTTGGAGTAAAACTCTCAGGCGAGAGCTGAGAAAACAGAGACAAAAGATTGTGTTTTGCTTTAATTTGCAGGAGAGCACCATCTTTTTTCCTTCTCTTTTTCCCATTTTTGAGCATGTTTTCACAGGAGGTGCTTAGCACTTTCAGGGACACTTTGACCAGCACTGCTTCAGATGATTCTCCCATCTGCAGTGGAGCTTTACCATCTTCTCACTTAGGCCATTGTATTAACATCTTGTGGTGGACCATTAAAACCTATTGAGTTGGTGACAAAAGGCACTATTGAAACTTGCTTTATTTTCTTCCTGCTCTGACTGCTATATGCTTTGGACTGTAAGACTGCAAATTAATCAGAATTGCGTGGTGGAACTGACAGATATCAGAGAAAGATTAAGAGAGCTCCCAGCTGGAACACCTCACTGTTGCCCTGTTCTCAAGGTGTCCAGGGCTGCTGGGGATAGGATTAGAGGACAGTGCATCTTGAGTGGTCAAATCATCCTTTCTTACCAGAACTATGTTGATTTATTTCCAAAGATGTCTGTATTTCTCCATCAACTCAGTGGAGTGCCTTGACAGCCAATTTAGACTAGCTGCATAATATTTAGATGGCGAAAGTTGCATGAGATTAATCCAGCACTGGTGTCAAAATGATATGTGGAAAAATTGCAATGATATTTCAAATGATCACTAATGGGGATTTTGACAGAAGTACGAAATGATAACATTTTTTGTGCTAAAATGGGAGCACAATGCTTTTCAGTGAAACTCCTGTCACTTTTGAAATCTGTTTGAAGACCAATTTTCAGTCAAAGTACTCTTCACACAGACTTCTGCTAACCTGCCTACCAACTGTAGGCAACAGGGAGAAGTAAGCTCATGTGTACGTTTGTAAAACTGCGTCCATTTTTTGCAGCCCTGAGATTTCTGTAAAGCATTTGTGGCAACACAGAGATTTTGTGATGTCTGTTGAATGTGCAGAAGAGTTGAGTGATGTGTTCATTTCAGTGTGCCAAATCTGTTGTCTCTTTGGCTAGTGTAGTCCAGTGGAAAGGGTGCAGAATGAGGGATTTTTTCTGGTCACTGGAAATAGTGAGGATACTTGCCTTTCTTTAAAAAGCCATTTAAAGTCTGTGAGTTAAAAAAAAATAAGCACAAGACCCATGAGCCTCTATTCAGAATGGCCTCCTAAACTTATGAACTTATGATTAAAGACGCCATGAACACATCATTAATACACATACACAGTTTTTCTGCTGCGCAGTTTGCACTCTTAAGATAAACAAATCACCCACAAGTATTAATCACTTTCCTGTTATTTCCAGTAAGAACAACCATATTTGGTTCAAGTGAACAAAAGAAACACTTTTTATTAGCTACAGAGCACCTGTCATTTAACCATAGCTATTGTAAAGGCAAAGATCATTCTGCAGTCCTCAGATCTCTCTCAGCCAGTTCCCTTAAGGAGGCAATCCATTCTTTTTCTAAGTTTCTAACTAAGGATTGGTTCATGGAGCTGGAATGTGATTTGTGAGCTTGGTTCAGTTACACGAGGAGAGGCAGGTTCTTCCTTAGTGGCTGTGCAAAGCACTTCAGCCACACACTGTGTAGACAGCATCTAAATCCCACTTTAAAAAAATCAACTTGAGATTCTTTTCTGTCATCAGGGTCATTTTTGGTCTCACAACTTTTCAGTTATATTATTATAAGCCAAGACTTTCATAACATCATTATACTGTGGCATCACAAGGATGATTAGTAAGTGTTCCCCTCAGAACCATTACCTCTAGGGATTTCTTTGCTTTGCTTTTGTTCTGCGTGGTTCTTAACTAGCTTAGTTTCCTGCCTTGAATTGCAAGTGTGAAATTGGCTACAGGAGACTTGGTGTATTTCATCGAGATGTCCACCTTAATCAGCCTCTTGTCTGTCTGTGTGAATTGCTCTAAGTATAAATTCTTTTGTTGTCTGTCTAACCACATGATTTACTGCAACTCCCTGTGTGCTTGCCTTGAGCACCGGTAATTGTGGAGAGCTGGGAGCAACATCAGCACTTTGGGAAAGATACCTCCTGCGTTTACAGCTTGTATTTATTAATGCAGGTATAGCAGAGCTTTTGATGGATTCACCAGCATAACCATTTCTGAATGCAAATATGGCATTTGAGAAATACAACAGTGTGGCTGTCGTTTGTGGGTGTGAAAACCTCACCCAAACAATGAGCGAAGTATAGAATCATTGTTTTACATGAGCAAATGAATATTTAATACACATCGAAATCTCAGTTTGTGGAGCTGTATGTACATCTGTCTCTGATTCTGTGTTTAATTAAGTCATGGCTAAAACCTTTTTGACTGAGTTACCGCAGAATCCCGCCTCACGTTTTTGTTTTATTGTGATGATTCTTTTTAATTGAATGTAAATCATGCTTAGGCTCATATTTTGCAAAGTGTTTCTAACCATTAATGCTTTACTGCCTGGGAGCTACTGTCTACATAGCTAGCAGGGAGGAAATAAACTTAATGGAATCTGTATTCTGCTTCATTATAAAAACCCTTTAGAAACGAGCCCAGCATGCCTGGCTGTGACCTCCGTAACCCAGCTGCCTTTCCCAAGCAACTGGTCCTTAGATAACAGCTCTGCAATTAATTACATGCCAGCACTGGGACTGCCAGCCCCGATCAGATCAACGCCCAGCTCCCTCAGTATCTGCTTTGACAGAGCTCAGCACCAGCTGTTCCGGAGGAAGATCAAAATATTCTCTTGGTGGAAAATTATGACATAATCTGCCCGCTGGGGTAGTTCCTTTCTGTATCTGAGCTCTAGAGCATAATGGGAGAGGAAAAGATTGATATCTGTTATTGCCTTATCTAAAGTAACTTTGAACGTCCTCAAAAACAGGAGCACTTTGTTTTTGCTGCAGTGAACCTGCCATTTTGCTGCAGTGGGTTCTGTGGGTTGTGTAAAAGAGCTCTGATTTCCTTCAGTATTTTCTTTCTACTCTTTGGATTACCCCACTTGTTATTTGTAGGATTTCTCCTTTAGTCTTCCATACCTCTGTTGTGGCCTATTTATTTTTATCCTGATTGTGTGTTAGCTATTGTCTCAGTTTCCATGGGTCTGAGCCCCCCAGGGGGGCTGTTACCTCCCAGGATGGAAATGGCTTTTGGAATGGAGATACCTCCTGAAAGACCCCCAAACCAAGCAGTGTCTTTGTTTTTTGCAAAATCTCTGTAACAAATTATAGTGATGGCAGTGAACGTAATGAGCACTGAGTATAAACAAACATTAACCTAAAGATCTTACATGCAAAAGAAAGGGCATATAGGAACTAGAATAGCTCTGATATTCTTTCAGTATTTTTTTTTTTATTATTGTAAGTATTCAGTTACTCACTTGCAGGAATTGGCAGATAAAATAAAGCACTGACAAAGTCCTCTTTATCGTTACTGTCACTTTTCTCTTTCCTTCTTTCAGATGATCATTCAAGAGTGAGATTGCAGCTGCTGGATGGGGACCCTCACTCTGACTACATCAACGCCAATTACATAGACGTAAGGCTCATGGACATTCCCAATGTGACAAACACTGCTGCTGACAAGCCTGCTCACCACTTTGTGGTGCATGTTACGTAGGGACAGACTGCTGGTCTGATGTGAATGACAGATGAACGTTACACAGACATCGTGTTGTGACAGGGAGAAGGTTCTTGGTCTCCAGTCTCTTCTTTCTGACCAATCTAGACAGATGGAGATTTCCTATGTCTGACAGCTCCACAAACACAAGTGGAATGTGGGGTAAATGCATGATGTATGTGGAAATCAATAGCAGCCCCTCACAATAACATTAACAGATATCTGATTCTTACTGACTGCATACAGAGTCACAGTGCAGGAGGCGTGAGTGGCTTGACATTTTTTAAGCATTGTAAGAAAACTTTTAAAAAGCTGCCTTCCTTGCACAAACAGAATGCTCAGTGATGTGCGCTTCTTGTATGCATCTCCTCATGCTTAGAAGCATGGCATTGTTCAGAAGAGTATCTCTAATGGAAGAAACTGAAACATGCACTTAATAAAGTCACATACCACTGGCATTCAGTGTTATCATGCAGGGGAAAACTCACACCTTTGCTGTTTTTCAAGCACAAAGATTCAGCTTTTTCCATGGTATTTCTAGAGCTGCCTGTGGGTTAGGCATGACACTTCTGTTTCTTGGAATGGAAAGTAGAAACTGTTCCATTCCTGTTTTCTCTTTGCTGTCATGAAATCCTGACACTGTGGGGTTTTTAATTAAATTATTTGACCAAAGTGAGGTACCATCACTTAAAATCTAACAGAGCAACCCTGTTGCTTATCTTCAGGCATTCAATAACCAGTGGTGGTGCAGAGCAGTTCTTGCTGCCTGGAAGGTGAAAATGCTGTGCACTGTTTAACTGTGACCTCAGGCCATCACGTATTTGTCTTTTTTTCCAGGGGTACCACCGGCCTCGTCATTACATTGCAACTCAAGGCAAGTTCATTCTTGTATGTCTAAATATTTGTAAAATCTCTGCTGTTTTAGATTGCTGCAAGAGTTAATTATAGGGTGACATCTTCTGTGTTGGGAATGTCTGAAAACTTGGTTTAGGGGAGCAAAAGGCAAGGACATAGGATGTTCCAAGCTACTAAAGGCACTCAAACAAAAAAAATCTAAATTATGAGTAGATGTAGAGGTGGCAGAACAATCTACAATGTGCCCTTTGTGCATGAAATATAAGGTTATAACTAAAAGGGACTTTATGGAGCTTGAGTTTACCTGCTGAAGTGAAATTGCTGTGGAAAGGTGGTATGAATATGCCTGTGACCAATGAATTTTTGTTAGTGGGAACTGGTAGCAAATTGCATTTGGACACCAACTTCTGTAAATTAGCTTCCTGTGCCTTTAGAAAGAAGCAAAAACCTCAGCAACACAATTGAACGCTGAGCATGTTAGATGATGAGCCTCCTAACTGCGGTTCTTTGCACTGGATTGCTGTTTTCCTACATCACCAGGCCAACTCTTTGGCCATAAGCACTTTCCCTACGATTATTCATTCTCCTTTCAGTGCATCCGTTCCTCCTTTGGAACTGTGATATTCACATGAATGACCTTGTTCTTAAACTCCACTTTATGACTTTTTCACATTTGTTCCTATTGAAGGAGTAAAGAAACATAATAGAATACAATTGGTGTCTGGGTTTATAAGGGTATAGAGAATGCATCATGGCAAAGAACATGGAGGATGCAGTTTGGGCAGAGTTGACTGAAGGATTTCATTTACAGGGTAGAAGAGAAAAGGGGAATAAGAGAAGAAGCTCCAGTCTAATAAATCATCTTTTGTCGATGCTAACTGTTTGGCTGTTGGAGCCCAATGTTTTTCCTTGTAGGGATTCTCAAAAAAGAACTCATTTCTGAATGCTTTCTCCTTCATAATTAATAAACTATTAGTAGTGTTGCATCTGGTATAAATTTCAATACTGCCTTAATTGCAGAGTGACTATGGGGTTCATCAATATCCTTTTGCTTATACATTATTTCCTACTGGAACTGTCATCTCCACTGTTTACAACACAGCCATCACTTCTGTTTCTGGCATGCTGGAATTCCAGATACCTACTGCAAAGAAGGTGAGGTGTCTGATCCATCAGAGAGCTCCAGGCTGTTCAGTGTCTATAGACACAGAAAGATGCTCTGAAAGGGAGAGTAGAATCCTGTGAGAACAGCACAATGGCAATGGAACAACTGGAGTGGGTTGTTGGCATTAGATGCACTCTCTGAAGATGTCTTTTTGTCTTTTCTCATGCCCCAGGGCCGATGCAAGAGACAGTGAAGGATTTCTGGAGAATGATTTGGCAAGAAAACTCTGCAAGCGTTGTCATGGTCACCAACTTGGTGGAAGTGGGCAGGGTAAGGGGACCAATTTCCTATCACTAAAAAACAAAGCATTGCTGGCTGTAGCGCTGTGTTGGTGCTGCACAATGCTCAGCAAGTGAAATTCTTTTTGCTTACTGTAGTGTAGAAAGGAATTAAAGCACTCAGGGATTTTTTCCTCTAAAATGCTAGATTTTTGTAATACTTAGCTGCTTGCCTTCCAGACTAATAAGGATCTTGTTGCTGCTGTAAGTCTTGCTTTAGCAGAGTTATACAAATTTATGCTAGCTGAGGAGATGTCTCCTTTTTCAGTACAGAGGGAAAAAATGTACTTCTGTAATAATTATTCTTTATCTGTGTAATTTGAGTAATTCTCTACCTACAAAAATCTGGAGACACGAGGACGTGCAACTGGTGTTTGAACTGATCAAAAGAGATTTTTAAATGATACTTCAAAGCTGAGGGCTGCTGATCGTTTCAGAATATCACTGTTCTGTTGTGGTGTGAGCCCATGCACAGCTGGATCCTGGGGCCACCTAGGGGCACTGGCCTCTTCATCATGCACAGCTTTGCTCTCTTGGACTCAGCTAACCAGGAGTCTCTGCGTTAACACAGGGCTATTGCTAAAGCACACAGTGGGAGCAAATATGAGTGACTCAGAGGCACAGACCAGCTTTGGAGAATAAGAAGGAGGCACATTTGGGGTGTGCTTCCCCTGGCACGTTCTCCCCATTCCTGGTAGTCTTTGGTTTAGAGAGATTCTGAGCCAGAAACCAGCACTTCAAAAATGTTCTCCTTCTGTTTGTCACCTTCCATTCCCTTTGTACTAAAATAAGCGTTTAAGCAATATATTATTCACAACTGCTAGTAATTCAACTGCTTTGTGTTTGATTTCCTTTAGATCTCATGTTTGAATGCTGCCTGGTTCTGTTCATTTATTGTTATTTATTCTATTCTACCTTCAACTGACACTTCAGTTTGAAATAAACTCCTCTGTGTAAAAAACAAACAAACAAAAAACCCAACAAAAAAATTCCAAATCCTAAACTGATCGTATAATCACAGCCTCTTTCTATGACTTGAAGTGGAATATAGAATCCACTTTGCAGTAGCTATTTGGTTGACATTTTAGGTGTTGTTCCACCTCTTCGTGCTAGAGAATTTAGTAACTTTATAGTCTTTGTTAACCTGTATAAGCTGCTCTGGCATTTATTTCTACTGTTAGTTTTGCACGTGGCTTCTAAAAGTAGCTGTGCTATGCGTTCACATGATGAGGTAATTTTTTCCATGAGCCTTAGCTCACGTCTTCTTCAACTTGAGAGTGGGGTAAAATGTGGATCAGCTCTGCCTCACTTGGAGCTAGTTCCTCTCAATGTTTTCTTTCCCTTCCCACCAGGTGAAGTGTGTTCGGTACTGGCCAGATGACACAGAGGTCTATGGGGACATTAAAGTCACATTAATTGAGACAGAACCACTGGCAGAGTACGTCATACGCACGTTTACTGTACAAAAGGTAAGGATATCTTCAGTCAGCTGGTCTTTTGATGTCACACTCAGTTTGTGATCTGAAATGTGAACTGTGGGTGAGTTCGCCCAGAGGTATGGAGATGGGAACAGTTGCTGTATGGCTAGTTTTCACTTCTGGAATCTAAATTTTTGACAGATATTCCTTTTTTACTTAAACATCTTGATGTAAACAACGAAGGTAAAATCCGCAGTGCATGAAGCTTAAATAAATCCAAAAGCCAGCAGGTAGTTGGCTATCCCAATTCACAGCAAAAAAGTGTAGGTGAAGAAAAGGTGTCAGCTAAATTGGATACCAGAGAGGTTTCTTTTTCAAGTATAATAAAAGCTCAACTATTAAAATTGTCCCCAAATTGGCAGGATTTGGAAGATTTATGTTATATACAATTAGAAATTGAGTATCTAAATGTCAGAGTATTCGAGGTCTGTCCAAATTACTCTCCAAACACACAGTAAGTGGTTTTAAAGCTTTTCAGAAATACCTACTAAGCCACACTGGGAATATTGTTCAGGTTTTCTAGCTCACAAGGTCCACGTTCCATTGAATCACTGAAAAACCTGACGGGAAATGCTAATGCCACAATCTGACAGATTAGTGAACTCCACATACATTTTCTATATAGTAAAAGGTCACAGCTAACTGACACTTCTGTGTTACCCTTGACAAAACAAATACAAGTGATGTCAGTTTTCATGCACCAGCAGCTTTGTCTCACCAGCAGGGCCAAGTGGTGTATCTAGGTATCACTTTCTGCCCTTTTCAGCACCAGATTTAATCTCAAACTTGAGATTTTTTGGCAGGAGGCAACAGAAAATCTACAGTTTCCTGGGGCCTCTGTATTTAGCTGTTCATTCCCCAGGCTTTTGCTTCAGTGTCTCAAAAAGGATTTGAGAGTGGTGGTTTACGGAGGTATCACCAAAGGCGAGATGGGCTAAGTGCAGCCCTGGTGTGCTGGGACAGAAGTCATCCTGTAATGTTCCCAGTGAGCTGGTTTTGAACACTGAGACTACAGGTTTGAATCAGGTGCTGGCATTCACCTCCACAGTCCTCAGCTGTACTTTGCCACTTCATTTGTAATTGGAGTGCATCTTGATCCTTCACCTTGAAATCTCTTGGAGTGAAAAGTGGTATAGGACATATTCCTGCACAAGATCAGAGCTAAATTGTTCAGCCCTTCTGTATGAGAGTAGCGAGCAGTGGGCAAAATACGTTGATCACAGTCTGGTGACAGAAAAATAGAGGCTGTGCTGTCTCCTCAGAAAGGCTACCATGAGATCCGAGAGATTCGGCAGTTCCACTTCACCAGCTGGCCAGACCACGGGGTTCCTTGCTATGCCACAGGCCTCCTGGGCTTTGTTCGGCAGGTGAAGTTCCTCAACCCCCCAGAGGCAGGACCCATTGTTGTGCACTGCAGGTATGTGAGCTCTTGGTGCCTTTCCTCCATCAGTTTTTTTGTTTTGTTTTGTTTTTTTTCTGCTTTTTTTCTTCTTTTCGTCTAACAACGACAAACCACATTTCGTTTGTTTAAGAGTTTAATTTGTGGGCCTTATGGGAAGTGGAATCTGGTTTCTTTTCTAAAGTGGCAGCTTTGGAGCTTAGCCGGCATGAATTGGAGATAAGTGGGTCAGAGAGGGCCCTTGGAATGTAGAAGACTCTCTGGTGGCCCATACTCTCTTAGATGCTCACAGCAGAGCTGGGAAAATGGTAAATATCTGGGACAGCAAGTCCAGTCATTATCCACAGCAAACCTCATGTGGCAGTAGGATGATGCCTACAAACAAACAAGGCTGCAGAGAGGGATTTTAAAGCTACTGCGATTTTCTGTACCCACATGTACTGCAGTTCAGCTTTGCACAAGGGTCAGTGGTTTTATCTCATATGTTTTTCTGCCTTCCTGGGTATATGGATACCAGCCATATGCATCTCAGCTTCCTCAAAACCCAGTCTGAATGGGAATTTCAGACTGAAAACCTGCCCAGTGCCTTCCAGCTAGGAAATAAGAGGCAAATGCCTGAGAAAAACTGCTTGGTTTTACAGCTGTGAGAATTCAGATTATTGATTTGCATTCTGGCAGACTCCTGGGCTGCTGCTGGTACTGTGCACTTTCTGCACTTGCCTTCTTCCAGCTGAAGTTAAGGCTGTGCTGTGCAAGGCAGTACATGAGTAGGGAGGAGAGTGTCCCTGGCATGGGGAACCAGCAGTTGGAGATGTAGTCAGACATGCTGATGGTGTTGGGAGAGCAGAGGCACCCAGGGGTGGCATCAGAGCCAGGCAGAGAAACCAAATCTCCTGAGCAAGCCTATCCTAATCCTTACCACCATTCTCCATCAGCTTGCAGCACAGGAAAAACTGGAGGGAAAGGTTATACTGGATTGGATCAGTAGATTGTATCATTTATGTGGGTCATTGTGAGGCAGAATAAAGTAACAGACCTCAAAACTCACTGTGCCTACTGAGTGTTGGATGTGGGTCGGTGTCCTTTTTTTTGACTTTACAGTGAAAGCAGTTGTGACTGTAGCATACCTCGGTTAAGAAAACTGTCATTATTACGTGACTTCAAATGCAGAAAAATACATTACTGCAAAAAAGGAATTTGGGTTTGTAGTAGGTGATTCTGCAGTCACAGTGCACCTGTTCTGAAAGGAGATATGGACGCAGCACCAGGCCAGAGAGCAGTGCTGAGCATTCCAGAATCTCACCCTGAGCAGTGCACAGGCACTTACCTCCTAGTGATGGGCTCTGCCATCAGGAGGACAGAGAGATTATGTCCCACAGTTGCTTTGAAAAGGAAAATCAGCTAAATTTTTTTAACAGTGTGCGGTGTTTGGGTTTGGTTTTTTTTTGTGATTTTTTTTTTAATTTAGCAAGCGATGAATCAGATCCATAATAAAATGCGGCTCAGCCAAAGGAGCTGGTAGAAGGGAATTCTTTCAGAGCTTTCAGGGCTTGAATTTGTTGCCTTGGTGCTGTGACATGGAGCTGGCCTTGGAAGGAGTCTGAACCTGATTCATCGTTACCAAGAAAGCAAGAAGAAATTTTTCATCCTTCACATTTTAATGAATAAATGCCATTTCCTCTCTGTTATTTATCTGCTTTTGAATTTTAATGACTTGCTTTAAGTGGTAATTACCAAATTCTCCCTACCGATGCCTGGCTGGATATTATCACTATTCGATATTTATGAAGTGCCGGGGTCCTCTAAATATAGAAGTGTTATAACTATTTGTTAAAATTCTGAAAAGCTGAGAGATAAAGAGAGAGGAAATGCCACTTATTCATTAAAATTCTGCAAATGAAAAATATCTGCTCTCTATTCAGCAGCTGATTAATCTGGTCCATTAATGTATGGTCATTCATATCTCCTTGCTTTTGGCTCTGCTGGAGTTTTCATGCAACAGAAGTTTCCCCGATTTGAGCTGAGTTTTCCTTTTTTCCTTTGGTGTTATGTTTAGAGACATTCTCCTCTTTCTATCCTTCACACCTAAACAGCTTTGGATGATTTCCCAGGAGGGAAGGAGGACACAGTGACAACACACTTTGCAAGAGATGCTTCAATTCTCATGTGCAGCTGGGGGGAGGTCTAAGCTGAAGGTTTTGAGTAGCCTCGGGCTCCTTTCTCTATAATGTTATACAGTCCATAACTTGAAATCATCTTAACTTGGGAACCAACCTTCTCATTAAGAAGGGAAAAGAAATGTTTGTGGCAATGCACTAACCCCCTCCCATCGAGCCCTCTTGAGTAAACACGCATGCTTTTTAGTAGTCCTACGAGAAGGAAAACTTTGGAGAAGCAGATTCCACTCCCACCCCTTCTGAATTGTGTGTTTTTGCAACCCAGGGGCTGCTCTCCCACATCCTTAGTGATATGCATGCAAACTGACCTGTCAAATCAGAGTGACTAGTTTTGTAGAATGATGTTTTTGTTGGCGTTCAAGAAATCAAAGTTCTGTGTCCCTTCCTGGGCCCATTGCCGTTCCCAGAAATATTAGTTCACCTCATTCTCTTAAATGCAAAGCTAATTTAACTAAGCATAAAAATCACTCCATGGGGAGCAGCTTCCAGGAGAAGCAGCTGTGTCCATGCAGCTATTTTCTGTGTAGCTATTTTCTGTGTAGCTATTTTTTTTGTATATCTATTTTCTCCTCCACAAAGCCCTGCCTCCGCACAGTCCCTTGATCGTATGGACCCTCATTGCCTTCTTTTTTTTTTTTTTTCCAGCGCTGGGGCCGGGAGAACAGGGTGCTTTATTGCCATTGACATCATGCTTGACATGGCAGAGAACGAAGGTGTGGTTGATATATTTAACTGCGTGCGAGAGCTGCGCTCCCAGAGGGTCAATTTGGTACAGACAGAGGTAGGTGCCAGCAGGTCTCCTCCAACCTGTGCTGCTTTCCTGGCAGCTCCTCTGCTTCACAGGGGCCAAACACTTCATTAAGTCAACACTTGCCTCCCCTGTGATGGGATTATACAGAACTTTATTTGCTAAACGTGGCCAGATGTGTGCTGAATCCCGTTCACGGGCAGCTGCTCAGACCTCAAGGCATTGATGTTTAGGCCTTAGCATTGCTGATTGATTTATTCTCACGGTAGAAGAGGTTGCTCCTGAATCATTCTTAGGTGCACTGCAGACTCAGTACCTATTTTGTATCAAGTGCAAGCTCAAACAATGAAACATCCTGGATTTAAGCAGTGGGTGCTGATGAAGCAAGCTGCTCCAGAACATACCATTTAGCAGCTGTATAAACTCCTGTCAGACTGTTATCCCACTACACAAGTTTGATGTGCTTTTCCCTCCTGATGGACAGAGCAAAAGACTGGAACAGAGAAGAACTTTTAACTTTGCAGGCTTCTCGTACCTCATGTTTTGTTTAAGGAAATATCCTTTCCCAGAGTAGCAGATTCTCTGGGAGCTTTGAAGAGACGGGTGGAGCAGGCCTCCATTTGTGCTGTTATTGTCATTGGTCTGAAGCAGAAACCATTCTCAGTGATAAAGAGACCATTGCCTTGCAATTGCCTCCTTGAATCCCCCCCTGGCCCAACCCTGTTTTGTCCCAGCATTTCCAGTACTGGTGATTTACCATTAGACTTGTAAATTTGAAATGAATACATGAGACCTCACATTCAGTGATGGATGAAATATGCTCACAAAGCTGTCACATAGCACAATGTGTAATTTGTCTCCACATGAAACTGAGCCAAATATGCATAGCAGGCATGACTTAAGAAAAAGAAAAAAAAAAAAGGTATGACATTTCATGATCTGTATTGAAAACATGACTTTAATATCTCATCCCCTCTCCTGTACAGGAACAGTATGTATTTGTCCATGATGCCATTTTGGAGGCGTGTCTCTGCGGCAACACTGCCATTCCAGTTTGTGAGTTCAGATCCATATATTACAACATCAGCAGGATAGATCCACAGACCAATTCCAGCCAGATAAAAGATGAGTTTCAGGTAATGTCATGTCTTGGTCATTGTAATTGGTGTACTGAAGATGTTTAATCAATTTCTGTGCTATTTTATGATTTCCAACATAGCAGAGGAGAGTGACACTGAGATGAGGTCTGATTTGTGGTGATTTCTGTTGTGTTAGTACTGAATCAGGCAGAGGTTTGTTTTTAAGCATGAGATTTTCAGCCTTTGGCAAGGAAAAGTTCCCATCACTTCAGTAGAGCAAGGATTTTAATTTCCGCAGATAACGTTGTACTTCTCATTTCAGCAAATATTCAGTTGTTCATTTCCTTCTGTAATTTATGCAGAAACATTTATGCCTCAAGGCCCCTTATTAACTGTTCTTGTGGCTTGTCTGTTGCTTCAGAGTCTTGACAATCAACTTGTTGATGTCCTTCCATACAAAGAGAGTGAGCTCTGTGAGTGCTGCTTTCTCTAATACTAATTTTCAGTGAAGACCTCAGTTCACCCAGAGTGTTTTTATGAATACCTTGTGGCCAGAACTGAAATGTCATATAATAACACTCACAAGAGTGGCATTGTTTGACTGGAGCAAGAAACAGGGACTGCTGGGCTTATCCCACTCTGATAAAATGGGGCTTGGGACACAGAGGCTACCAGTTCTGTGCAAGAGTGCCTCCAACACAGTGAACTAAGCTTCCTAGGCTGATTCTCAATATATCTGTAAGTCCCTTCAGGATTTTCAACCAACAGCATAGTATTGTTGGAAATTTAGGGCAAGATGATTTTGACAGTAAAGTGAGACTGCTATTTATTAAGAAGCTGTTCTTAGTCAGCAGTGAAAAGATGGAGATTGCTTTTATTGTGGGAGATGTCCCTCTGTCCCCCAGCCAAGTGTCTTTTCCAGGAGGAGGCTGTCAGGAGCCTTCTGAGCTAGATGCCTCATTTGCTCCCTCACTGCATGAAGACAGAATGTGTGTGTTTTTTATCTGAAACCTCGCAGGGAATCATCAGGGTTGATGTAGTGAGATAAAGAGGTGGATCCCAACTGATGGCACTTCAATTAAAAAAAAAATCCGGTTTTATCAAGTGATATCAGATCTGTAAAAGCGTTTCTGGCTATGGACGCTTGGCATGAGGGAGCCGAAGCCTGACTTCATCAAGTGCTGCTGTACTATTAAAAAAATGACACCGCTCAGTGTGCTTATTTTGTCATGATAGGAAGTGAGATTTGTCGCCCGCGTGCTTGTTCTTTTGAGCTGCCAGGGGCTGGCAGCTCCTTTGGGAAGGAAATGCTCCTCCATGCTTTGCATAAAAGATTCGTTTGCTGTCTAGTACTAGGATGCTATTTTTACAGGGGTTTAGCTTAAAGCGTTCATCAGCCTTAGTTGTTTGGCTTTAATGCATAGGATGGTATCTTTTGCTACAGTCTTTATGAACCAGTTGATCTAAGTGTATCTATTGGTCCAATCTGTATTATTTAGGTCTCGCTGTCCCTCAGGTAAGACTGGATAGATTTCTCATGCACTGCACATGGCCTGAACGTATAAAAGCTCATTCTAGGGAGTCTTTATGTTCTGAGTAAGCCACAAAAAACAAGTGAGCAAGGGGAAGGACGTAAAATAGTCAGGAGTAAATCACTAACAAGTTACTCACCTAATTATCTGCACTGTCAGAGATTTCAGGTTTCATTATGCTGCCCTGCCAGACTGTCTGCTTCCCATCCCCTAGGTAAGGGAACTTGAGTGCATAATTTAGAGCAACTACATGATTTCTGATGTTACTTTTCTATATGTAACTTCCTATAACAGGTTGTCTGACCCTTCTCCTTTCTCCATTCACAACCTCTCTTTGGATGAAGTCAACCTCTCTGTAAAAATGGTTGGCCTCTCAGTATTTTGTGTCCATCTGTTGGTTGCAAAGGAATTCACAGCATGACTGCTTTGCTCATGAAGGAAAACATGACAAGTAGAAATAAAATGCCATCAGATAGCTACTGATCTACCATGGCTTAAATGACAGTGTTAAAGATGCGTTCACTTGGATTTGCTGTTTTTAACAGCTGCTGAGTAACCTGGGCTGGTTTGTCGATGGATAACACAAAAGAAAATTACATTTAAAGAAACACATTCTGTAAAGCTGTGGGAAAGACAGATAAGGGTAAAAGACCAACAGCAAGACCCCAGAGATAAGGTGTGACTGGGGAAAGGAAGCATGTCTCTCCACGAGGAAAGGAGCAATCTAAATAACAGGGTAACAGCTTGACTGACTGTTTAAAACAAAACAAAAAAATACCCAACTCTTTTCTCTTAGGTTTTTGTGCGTATTGTTAAAAGAAATCAATAGTTTGCCTGAGGAATCATGAGATGGTTTGAACCCAGTTGGCCTGTGGGTGAACTCAGGGTAGTTGTGCACAGGATCTTCTCAAAGAGCGAGGATGTGTGCACCCACCTTCAAGAGGCTTCACTCCATCACCAGGTCAAAGCTGCAGCGTACAACTGTGACGGCCATTTCCAGCCTCTGCAAAGAACAGAAATGTTATCTGACTGCTGTGGTGTTTTACAGCTGGAATTTGTTACGTGGTGTTCAGTGCCCTCCATTTATGCTGGGGGTTATGGTGTTTGGGAGGGCACTTCAGGAGGATGTGCAGTGTGATGTATTCGATCAGCAACGAGCTTCTCCATGCTCATTCTTTTTCCTTCTCTGGGATGCCAGAGATCTTCTGTTCTTTGGTATAAGCATACCGTGGAGATGGCATTGTTTTTGGAAGTGAATTCAAAGATGCTCAGCCTGCTTCTGTATTTCCTTCCCTTCTTCCCTGCCCCCTTTACAGACTCTCAATATTGTGACACCGCGGGTTCGACCAGAGGACTGCAGCATCGGCCTTTTGCCGAGGAACCATGACAAGAACCGCTGCATGGACGTGCTGCCCTTGGACCGGTGCCTGCCCTTCCTCATCTCTGTGGATGGCGAATCCAGTAACTACATCAATGCTGCGCTCATGGATGTAAGCAGCTCTGCACATCCCCCCTGTCCCCTTATCACTGCACTGGGTTTATTTCTTCTTGGCTTGTTTTTCTGGGAGAACTGGATCCAAAGCAAGAAGCCTTTTTTTTTTTTTTTTTTTTTTTTTTTTTTCCCCTGTAGTTTCTGAGTCTGATATCTCCAAACTGGGCAAAGCCACGTGAATTTTCTCTCCTTCACAGAAATGTGTCACTTGGTAATGTGATAAATCACAGCTTGTGTCGTTCTGCCTCGGGCTGCTGGAAAACTTTTGGCTGAGAAGCTTGCGAGCGTGCAGTCTGAGGGTGCATCTTAGAATGGCAAATGAACGAAGTGGTGGTGGGACAGCTCTTCCCACTGGTTGCTGCACAGGTGGGAGGAGAAATGCTCACCAGGAGCTGCCACGTCAGCTCTTTGAAAAGAACAGTTTGTGGCATGGAGTGAGTGATTTATCTGAGCTACTGCAGTTAAGAATATGGGATCAGATGTGCGAAAAGCTTTAGGGATGAAGGACATGAGCTAAGCTGATGTGAATCTGTCTGAAGGCATTTTGCCTTGCTTTGTTTATGGACTCACAGCATGGGGCATCTATAGTGGCTGAATTATGTTGATGGTTTCTTTTTACTGTAGTACCTAAGCTGCTTTTGGACAGAGGTGCCTTTGAACTGCTAATTACTGCAATTGGAGTATATGTAAATATGATCTGGGGAGAAGTGTCATCATTTTTTCCCCAGCAAAGTTGAGTAGAGTTGGTCTCTGTTATCTCCTCTTTCAGGTTTTGGGGGATAGTGATACTACTGCATTTAAGAGGTTAAGAAAATTGGTCACATAATTAATTTTAGATTTTTTTTTTTCACGAAACTGTGATGTTTTTATTGCAAATACGCTCAAGGAAACTTTTTATCTTTCTTTCTTTAAAATGTGTTTTGTGCACTGGCAGATCTGCAGCTGCACACTCAGTTGTCTCATTACCTAGGGCCTGGGAATGTGTTTGCCTGTTGTCGTCCCCCCTACCTTTAAGGCTCTCGTCCCCTTCCACACAAAATTCTGCTAATCGCTTTTATTTTATATAAAGAAAGAGAAGCCGTTCCAGACTCATCACTTCCCAACAGCTTTCCTTTTCCTTCTCTGTACTTCACTTCCCATCACCTGCTCACCTGTGCACCCCAGAACATAGTGCAGCCACTCTGCAGAGTGGTGCAGGACATGCACAGCTCCCCTCCCACCATGGGCCCATTGCACCCACAGCTGGCTCACAGGGAAGAGAAAAGGCAGCCCCTGCAGCTGCTACCTTAATACTTAGAGCATTTATTTATTTCTTTTCTTTAAAACCAAAATCCGATTTATGTGTTTTTTTTTAACCCAGAATTATACCTTTTGATTCAAGTCTGCTTCACAGATGTACAGCACAGAGGACAGAGCATTTGTAGGCTCATCTAAGCATTGCATGCTGTGGTTGGAAAGAGATAACGTTTTGAGCTGCTGCCCTTTCATCTCAGAGTGCCTCACAAACATTCATTACCACAGCTCTGCAGAGGTTGGGACCACAGTTTCTCCGCTCTGTGGTTAGGGAAATTGAGGGCAGAAGGCACTTTTGATGTAAAAGAATAGCAGCAGAAGTTGAATGCCAGCAATGTGGACTCTGAACACTCCCCCATGTCCTGTTAAAGGATGGCTGCCACCCAAATGTGCCACTTGGGTAGCATTATGCCACTGGGGAGCAATGGCAGATGAGGGCTAACCCCTCCTCTAGTTTCTGGAGTCCACTGCAGCAGAAAGGAGTGCCTTTGCTTCTAGCTGTTTTGTTTCCCATTATTAACATTACTGATAGTAGTAGTAGTAGTAATAGTAGAATTAGTATTATTTGCTGAGTCTCAAAATATAAATAATTGATTTGGGTAATCTCCGCTCTTGTGACACTTCCTTAATGAAATGTCTTCATTGGGTGCAAAAGAATCCCATTATGAGACATTCATTCATTGCACAGCGATAACAAGGAGAAGGATATGTGATTTGTATAATCTGGTTAAATGGCTCAGATTGCCTAGCCATAGCCTCCCGGGTGTAATATTCGTTTGAATAAAAGTTGATTGAATTTTTTTTTAACTAATCTTATTCTTTTGTTAGAGCCACAAGCAACCTGCTGCCTTTATTGTAACCCAGCACCCTTTACCCAACACCGTAGCAGACTTCTGGAGGCTGGTGTTTGATTATAACTGCTCCTCCGTAGTGATGCTGAATGAGATGGATGCTGCACAGGTAAGGGATTTTTCATCATCTCAGCCACACAGCTTTATTCTCAAATCCGGAAGGTTTTCAGGGGGTTTCTACAGCCATTTGCTTGTGACCAATAAGTAAAACAAAATAAAGAATGGGAGCTGGAATGTAACAGGCAATGTTTTGGAATACTGTGGAAGAGCAAAGTTCAGATCTACATACTTGACTCCTTCTAAGGTAACTAGTTCTTACTGCGATTAACAGTGATTACCTATCTACATATGCTGCTGTTGGGGCCTAAGTTTCCTCCCAAACCAATTCCCATTTCCTCCCAGGCTTAGGTACTCCATTCCTGCCTGCTCACCCATTATTTCCAGAAGAATAAAACCCAGCACTATGCTGAAAACATCGTAAGGATCTTCTCCCTGAGGTTTCCAATGAGATTTGGTAGTAGTGAGACGTGCAGCTCGCACTGCTTTTGGAGCAGCACGTTGTGCAGTGCATTTCTCATTCTTTTCTTTCAAGTGCCATGTGTACCCTGGTTCCTTGGCTGCTGACCGCAGTGCTCTTTTCAGAAGTCGAGATGGCAGGGCAGGAGCTGCTGCACTGGATTGCAGGCACCTTGCTGACGAGTAGTAGAAGATAGCAGCTTTCAAAAAGGTGCAATCATGCAATTTGTGTGGAGAGTGTGTTTGGCATTGCTAATTCACCCATTACAGCACTTGTTAAACAAGAGAAGAGCCCTCAAGTAGCCGGTACTTCATGGATTCATTTTTCATTTGTCTCTTTGCTGTCTTTGAAGCCTCAGCACTGAAGGCAGTGGGATCGTTGGTCTCTTTGGCTTGTTGTGCTGGGGGGGAGATCCCTTCAGGTGAAAGCTGTGGGATTTCATTTCTGTTTGTGTAAGGGCTGTGCTCAGAAGTGACCCTCCTGATAACAGCAGAGTCGCAGTCCTCTGTGCAGTCCTGGAGCCCATGTGTGGGAGCAGATTGCATTTTTTTCTTTTTTTGCAGGCTCTGTAAAGCACAGCATTTTCTGGAAACCAGGAGTTCTTTCTCAAACCTCGTTCCTAGAAAGCACAAACCCATCAGCCTCAGCCTATTACTTTTGCCGACTGTCTTTCTGCTAAAGACTTTACCTGTGTTTTTTTCCCCTAGAAAGTCGCTGTTTTTATCAGGTAGTTTGCAGGAGGTTTGGCAGTGCATTAAGTCACTTTGACAGTCATTCCAGCACGGTGTCACCTACCTTGAGTCTGCAGCCAGAGCTGAACGCACCCAGCTACCGCAAGAAGTAAGGATAGCTTTAAAGTTTGTATCTTAAAAGCTCTCAAGGCAAGGTGTGGAAGTTTGATAGCAGTTGTGAAGGTGAGATTTCTGTAGAGGAAGTGTAACTGGGTAACAGCGTTATGCTTGCGCTGTTGTTGTACAGCAGTGTTGTTATCTAGCTGCTCATCGTTGCCTTACCCAAGTGCTACACCATAAGCATGACACAACTGTCAGTGTACAGCTGTGTGCAGAAGATACCGCGTCTGTGTGGCTAGGTGGAACATCTCACTCATCTACAGGGGAAAAACACAAATGCAAAGCCTGCTTATGTAAAAGCTATGATTAAAAATAAAATGCGGTTAGTAAATGAAAATGTAGTAAATAGGGAGGTGAGCAGGGAAAAGTGCAAAGCAAACCATGTTTTAGAGGGCATAACAGACCATTTTAAGCACCATACAAATGTCAGGCTGGGCAATCATTCACAGACCTGCTTTATGAACAGTGATTTTTAAAGTTAAGTTTAATCTTTCTGTTCTTTGCACTGCACCTTGAGGTTGGTTCCTACAGCTCAGCTCCCATCTCCTTGCCTACTGGGGAAATGCTTTGAGAAGAGGTCTGGAGGTTGCTTAAAAATCTGGATGAAGAGTGAAGATAACCTTCAAAGGAGAGCTTGCTTATGTGGGCTTCATGTGCTTTTGTAATCTTGAAAAAATAACAAGGGCAAAGATGCATAAAATCTCATTAATATCCCACCCAATTTCAGCCCCATATGATCAAAGGAAGAACAGGAATAGAGAATTAATGCAGTGGTATGCACACACTTGACATTATTACTGACAGTGATTGAACTTGAAAAGCTCGAGATCAAGTTCAAATGAGCACCTGGTGGTTGCAGAACTTCTCAAAAATTACTCTTGAAAATAGGAGGAAAAAAACCCAGAAAAATACAATCTCAGCGGAAACTCTTAATGAGATCTCATGCAAAATATTTTCTTGCCATGATCTATTTCCAGATGGATTTGAAATACTTAGATCGTAATTTGTGTGAATAGTAGGGTTTTGTATGCTGTGAATTCAGTAGTATCAGCATAAAAAGTTCATTTTGCAGAAAAATTCCTCTTTGCTTGAATTAAGATTAATTTTGTTGGTGTGTACCATTTCCTCGCTAACACCACACTTCTGTGATTTTATCGCATTTACCTGCAGACACTGATCTTTTAATGTTCTTTTCTAACTCCATGTCCATGTAGGAACTTCATTTTTCTGCCACTTTCCTTCACCTTTACGCCCTGGATTCAGTGGTTTTCATACTGAAAAAGGCAAAAAAAAAACAACAAAAAACAGTGAAGCTTCTAAAATATGTTTCTTTTTGTCTTCAGACTCATAATATCAAGAATTTCCTGAAGCTAGAAGAAGGTCTTTTCTGAGCAAATGCATTCTGTAACTGAGGATTGGTTATGGATTTTGTGCTGGCTGGCCATCTGAAGTGAGACAAGAGTGATGGTGCATTCCCTTGTTAATATTAAGGTGCTTTCTGTTTCTTTTCGATGTTCTCACTAGCTCTGCATGCAGTACTGGCCAGAGAAGACGTCCTGTTGCTATGGCCCAATTCAAGTAGAGTTTGTTTCAGCAGACATCGATGAAGACATCATCAACCGGATATTCCGGATCTGCAACATGGCCAGGGTAAGAGCAGTGAAATACCACATTCCTTATTTATTCTCACACATTTTGGCATGGGAAAAAGGCAGAATCAAGTCTGTGGTTTTGAGATGCTGAATCGCTCACCTAGTAACAAAATTCCACTGCAGAAATTTAGTAGCTACTTCCTTTAATTAACATTTAATTGCATTAGTCTATATTGGTGAAAGCCTTTTGGCTGAAAGTAGAAAATGGATGGTATGAGCTGAAAATCTGGATTCAAATGGAATGCATTTTTCTGTATATATTTGAGAACAATTAATCCATTAGTAGAAACAATAAAAGTATCAGCATCGCAGGAAATAAACTGGAATAGTATCAACTGCTCCCTGTCTGTCAGCTGCCCTGCAGCGTCTCTGAAGACAAATGCAATATTTACCAGCCCGAATGAGATTCCTAATTGCCCCTGTCCTCCTATAAATAAGTGGCTGCTATTTCTGCAAGCAACTTTTTGTCTGTATTCCTCAGCTCCTGTATAGCTGGCATGATAGAAGCGAGGTTTGTCTGCACTCTGGACTCATGCAATACAACTTCAGGGCTGGGGCAAGAGTTTCAGCAGAGGATTTTTCTCCCATTAATTGTTTCCCAGATTGATTATAACTCTTTTTTTTTTTTTTTTTTGATCTTTTTGTTTTTTCCCAATCAGAAGTGGAAATAGGCTCCAGAAATTGCATTTCCATACTGTCTCTGATTGTGTAGTCAGAGCCTGTGCAGCAATTCAATTATGTCATTGTGGAGTGATTTGTGGGGTCTAACTATTTGAGCAGCTGAATCAGTTACCTCTGCTCCACCCCACATCCCAAACTGACTGCCACTGAGCTGGGGACAGCCTTGCAGTCCCATGGCTGATAACACTGCATGCTGAAGCTGCCTTGTAAATGCACAGCTCTCAGGGTGAGTGCTGTAAACTCACATTTCTCATACCCATCTGCATTCAGCAGCAATATCCACTTCTAAATCCTTATGAGGATCTTTTCTGCCATAGTCCCCAGAGATTTTTTTGAGGACTGTCTTTGCCACTACTTGCTTTGACACAATGAACCTCCACCACAAGGTAGTAGGAGAGACATAGCTGACCAATTCTTACAATTCAGTGAGATTTTTTTTCTCTACTGAAAATAAAACAAGGGGTCCTTAGCATCTAGTTTCTGCCTGGTACCTGAGATCATTGTTATCATCATCCAAAATATGGAAAACTCCTTGTTCCCTGCTGTATCATGTATCCAGTGTGGAGAATTCTAGCACTGATACCAAATTAAGAGGGGAAGGTGTGTGTGATCAGTACCCTCTGCTTCACCCTCTCTCTGCTTCCTGCCTCATTCCCTTTAGCATTGCAAATGCCCTTTGTTTCAGCCCCAGGATGGCTATCGCATAGTTCAGCACCTGCAGTACATTGGCTGGCCAGCATACCGGGACACCCCTCCATCCAAACGCTCACTGCTGAAGGTGGTCAGGAGGCTGGAGAAGTGGCAGGAGCAGTACGATGGGAGGGACGGCCGCACTGTGGTCCACTGCCTGTAAGTAGGGCTGGAAATCATCTGTAACCTCATGAAATAAGTCCAGAAGTTTGATTATGGATTTGGAAATCTGGTGGTTTGCCAGGCTTCAGCTGGGGAAAATAAAAGTTGAATATTGTACTGCGTTATAACAACCTGACCCAGAGATTTTACTGATTGTGGTGAAGAGGAGCCAAAGGCTCTGCTGCTTTCTGCTGTGAGCCCCACAGGAGTGAGGAGAAGCAGAGCAGTGCCCAGGGCTCCTCTCCACTGCTTCCAGGGATGGCATTAGCCCTTCCCTTGTGCCATGGCACTGCCAGCTCTCATGCTGCCCTACAGAGCTGCACTTTCACAAACCCATGAGCTTCCTCAAGTAGGCTGGTGAATGCACCCCTCTCTTGGTGTACGTGCTGATTTGTAAGCTGTGCTTTCATCCCTTGCCTGGCTTCATCTGTTGCCTCTTTTCTTCTGCACCCAGGAACGGTGGGGGACGCAGTGGCACCTTCTGTGCCATCTGCAGTGTGTGTGAAATGATTCAACAGCAAAATATCATCGATGTGTTCCACATAGTGAAAACGTTACGGAATAACAAGTCCAACATGGTGGAGTCACTGGTAAGCTTGTTTTCTGCATTTTACTCCACCCAGCATAGGCATGGGGACTTCATAATAGGTATGAGATTTTATAGTTTAGCCCAGCATGAATCCAAACCACACATACCATAAATGCAGCAGGATTAAAGCCAGCCCTGCTTTGGCATGTGTGAGGAATCTCCCAGTCCCACTGCTTCTCTCCTTGAATAGATGTGGAGCAGCCATCCTGGCAGCAAGGTGGGTAACATCTCCTGCACCCAGAAACTTAAACCCCAAGCTTCTGTCACCTTAGCCTAGGTAGGATTTGAGCTCATGAGTATGCATACAGCCTGGTGCTTGTTGCTGTGACATGCCTTGAGATCATGGAGGGAGGAGAGTGCACCCCAGACCTTGCACCCTGCTGAGAGAGATTAAACCATCCTGAATTCAAACATCCCAACTGATCGTGCTGAATTCTTTCCTCAAAAGCAACGTGTAATGAGGATGTGAAGCAAATAATGAATAGCCCATTGGGTAGCTGTCTCTTAGAGCATTTTTCTCTTCCACTGATTATGACGACTCTTACCAATACTTGTTTAGTATCACATAGAAATACAATTCATGTTTGTCTGGTCCTGTCAGATGGACAGGACCATTAAGACCAGTAAGAAAGAGAGAGGAGGCATTTTTTGCAGCTTGCAGAGTGAGTGTGCGAACAGTTCACCTGTATCCTAATGTCACTGACTTCTATTGTCTCTTTCAGGAACAGTATAAATTTGTATATGAGGTTGCACTGGAATACTTGAGCTCCTTTTAGCCCAGCAGAGAGAGAGGAGCCTCCGACATGGCAGACCTCAACCCCTGGCAGATGCTTCTCCCCTGTCCCACACTAGAAGGCGGTAACAAGTGTGGGAAGGAAAACCTCTCCTTCCTGGAGAAAGAGACTGAGACTGCACGGACCAGCTGGAAGGAGGAGATGATGCCTGTGTTTGCTGCTGCCTGCTTTCTATTGGAGCATCTACCGCTTCTTAAATAACCTACTGTAAAAATAAGGGAAACGGGAGACAGGCTGAAGGACTGGACTTTCTAATCCCCTCTGACTTCTCTCCTCTTTAGGATTGTATTTTTTGCTGTCCTTGCTGAAGAGTGGGGAAAGAATGAAACCTTTAGGAAATTGTCTTCTAAATGTCTCCTTTTTAAGTTATTATTTTGTTATCAAATCCCAGTCTTTAATTTTTGAATTTCATGCAGCAGTCATTTGGGGAAAATGAGATAGCCATAGGGAATTTATGAAATGTTTCATTACGATTTGCCTGTCTTATCTGTTTTTGTTTTATTTTCCAAATGAAAAGGCCAACACCAAAAAACACTGGATATCTTTCTGCATCTGGTTCCGTTTAGCATGAAGATGGTGGAGATGAGGAGTTAGTTGTTCATGGATTTGCATCTTGGCTTCTACACTTTTCCTCCCAGTTTCTCCCAAGGCTGTGCATGAACTGGTTACATCTCTCTGGTCCATGTTTGTTTCAGTGCTGGTGAAGCAATATTAATAAGTTTCCCAGCCACTTAAACCCTGAAGTTAAATATTTGCATCAAACAAATTGCATTTGTCTTGCAACTTTGGTAACGATGTTACCATATTTTTCAAGTATTTGCTGGGGTGCAGTGTGTCTTTGAAAAACAGGGTATAAAGTAGGTATTATTGATCATATACTATGTATTATTATTTTTTTATTTATTATTTGTATTGCTGTAGAACTTAGGACCCCTAGTCCTGACAGGTCCCTGCTGAACTAGGCTAGGCACTGTGCAAATGAAGAACAAAGAAGGTTCCTGCTCAAGAACTTTGAATCTGAAGGTAATCTTAAAATTGAGTTTGATCAGGTTTTCCTCGCTGATCCCAAACTGTTGTACAGTCAGACACAGTTGAGTGATTTATTCAGATTTCCAGCCCCTGCAAATTTAAAATGGTAACCCATCCAAGCTGCAGGAAGGGTGATGGACATACACAGAAACCTGTTCTGGCATCTGCTAAGAAAAGGCTTCAGCCAGCACAGCATCTTTCCATCTTAAGCAAAAAGGCTTTTCTTTTGTTCTGCAGAGACGCCTGTGCAACTCTTCTTCTTTGCAACAAACATCAGAAGGGTTTTGCCATGGTTCTGGATCTTGCTCTGACTTCTTAGAAGCTAAGAAATTGCTTTTCTGAAAGAGTTTGTTTTAGGAGCTAATCACTAAGGTCTACAGGATAATCTCTGAGATTATTCTTAAAGGAACAAAGGATTTACAACATTCAGTATTTCAATTTAGCCATTTATTTATCCTGAGAGTGAAGGGATCCAAGATAGTTCAGTGTGTAAATTAGATTCTTGGTGATGTAGGTTTCTTCAAACATAGACTTGCTTAAAGCTAGACAGGTAAGGGAAAATTTAAGTATAAGGAAATTCCACTTTCTTACCATTTCATAGTATTCCACCCTCTGGTAAATGCTCAGAAACTGCTGGGAGCTCAGTCGTGTCAATGCCTCACATAGAGAGCACCAGAAGCTTAAAAAAATTTACCAATTTCATATATAAATTCAAAAGGCACCTCTGCTTCATGGTCATTCTTTGCTTGATAATTATATCTTTGTCTTGACAATTTGATTGGAACACTTATTGACTCAGATATGGCAGTACCTAACAAAAAAGTTATCATCTCTCTCGGGACCTGCAGCAGTCTAAGAAACAAGGCTCACTATTTGGAAATGGAATCTTTCCTGCTGAGCAGATGAGAGATTTGCATAGGATGCTGAACCACCTTGCTCATGTTCTTTCCAAGAAGCTTTGCATTCTTGGCTTCTTCCAAGTGAATACCTTGAAGGTCTCAGGCAGTTGCACCACAAAGCATCAGTGGGAACCCCCTTACAGGTGCTTCTGCTGTGTGTCAGGTTGGGCCCCTACTTTCTGCAAGAAATCACTAAAGCAACATTGGATTACAATGGGGCAGCAGGTGAATGTCTGCTGTTTCACAAAATAAATCAGTTGTTCTATTTTTTTTTTCTGTTGCTGCTAAGCTGCACAAACAACTCTGCTGTAGAATAAAAGGCAAAGCAAAATTATGACATTTGAGAAGGAAAGGGTAATATTACTGTTTGAATTACAGGTGGTTTGCTTGGGGGCCGTTTGCAAAGAAGAGGAAAGAGGGAATCCTGATCCCAGGATGGGATTTTGCAATTGCCAAGGTGAGAAGAAGCTACCAGCAGAATGTTCTTGACTTCACTAACCACAGAAAGCCAGAGGGAGTAACTCCCTGTGGATGCTATGGAAATATTAATTAGTATTTAGCATTCTGTTAATTTTACATGGAAACTAGCATACGCATAGGACCCTTTCAGGAGTTACTGAAAGTCTAGTTCAGGCACTGAAGTTAATGGCCTGGGTAAAAGGAATAGAGAGGTAGAATAAATGACGGTGTATCCAAGGAATGAAGGGTAGAAGGTAGTTTCAGGCTAAGCAGTAGCGTGAAGGAAAGTGGCTTACAAAGCCAGCAGTCAGCCTATAGGAGGGATGTATACAGGGAGGGAAGCAGGTGTTGGACAAGCCAGGCAGAAGAGCTCTTGCAGTGAAGTTGTTTAAGGTCCTGAGGTAGGTTTAAATGTATTTTCATGGTATGAGGCATGCTAGTACAGGGTCAGGTGCAAGCATCAGCTGGCCTGCAGTAACGCACCACATGCTTTTAGCCCTCTGCAAATGGAAAGTGATAACATAGATTTCAGTGAAAGGTCTTTAAGCTACATTTTACCTTCTCTTTGCAAGGAACAAGTTCAGTGCAAATCACGTTGGTTCCTACAGCCCAACTGTTAGCCACAACTGACTGTGTGGCAGCTCAGGTCTGCGTTTCAGGCTTCTGGTGATGTTCAGCCTGCAGCCAGTGTGGAAGGATGCTCAGCAAACACTATGGGTGATGTTGGTTGTGGTCCAAACTGTTCCATCATCACACACAGGTACACTGATTTTTGGGAACGCAGCTCCTGTCTGTATTGGCTCAGGCATCTTTGCACTGTTCTTTGCTGCACAATGCTTATATGTTGAATATGAATTAATGATAAAGGGAAAGAGAAAATAATTTGCTGTAAATAACCTTCTTACCTTGAGGTTGTTTAAACTGTGGAGAGGAGCCTGTAGCAACATAGGTGATGTGCTTGAGGCAAGATTGTGGATGTTGGGTCTGTTTTCTTTGAGAAAGAGAGAAATTTTGAGATAATAAAGTAGGCTTTCTCACTCTTGAAAGGACTGACAATCCAGGACAAGCTTTCCAACCTAAGTATTGCCTGCTGCAGTTGGGGAGCAATAATGTAAGGTAGAAAAGGGGAATTCCTCAATGACTGAGTTTTGGGCTGTGTAAATATGATATTGACAGTATTTGAATAGTCATAATGAAAACACTTATTCCCATTCTGACATCCTTCAGGATTGGGTGAGAACTGTTTGTTGATAGCATAGTATTGGTCTAAAGTATAATCTGAAATTTGGAAAACTAGAAATAAGAAGAGTAAGGGTACAGGGACTGTGTCATACACGGGGCATAAAACATCTTAAATTATTAAGAGATGTAACTGAAGCAAAGAATTCCAGATCTACCTAGGCCAGATGCTGGAGAAGGAGGAACCTGACCTGTCAGCAGGAAAGAGATAGAACAAATTCTCTACAAGGTACAGCAGGTCTTGACAGTCTGTTGGGTTGTTTCTTTCTTTCTTTTTTTTTTTTTTTAATCTCTGTGAAAACTGCATCCTTTGCTGCCATCTTTTGTTATTTTTTCCCCCCAGAGAATGTTTTGTAAAGAAAAGTGGAGTTGACCTTCTGTAGATGGACTTGAGGTACTTGTTTATTAACATGGAGGAAGCAGACTGGGGTTGGGAGTACAATGTCAGTGTGAAGGTAGGGACTGCGGGTGGCAAACAAGCAGATGGGAATTGGTGGTTTTATTTAGTAGATTGAAGTAACTGGTGTTCTCTGATCAGGGAAGTCTCTGGGCTGTGGTTGATAGGAGATGTTTCAGTTCATGATTGAAATTCATTGGCAAAGTTGCATAGAATACTGCCGTGCTTAGTTTGCTTCAACTAGTTTTATTAGTGCACTGGTTGATCCCCTTGGTTTATTTGCATTAGAGCCATGTAAGTGAGCTAGAGTTGTCCGTGTTGGTCCACAGACACCAGGTAATTAGCAATGAAAGATTTTTCCATGCACTGAAACCCTCCTGTCACCTTTTGCACCAAATCAAGCCACAGTTCTGCATCACATCTCTTCCATTCAGCCCTTGTCCACATGGTGCCCACATTTTAAGAATGCCCAGGGAACTCCCAGAAAGTTGACAGATATCTTGGGCCATGTCTGTGACCCTGATTGGTCTGGTCCATGCACTCTGTAGGGCAGAGGTGGGAATCACAGAGCATAGCTTTTGCCTAGAGAAGCACATATTTGTGTGTCAGCAGTTTCCTACCTTTTATTCCAAATCTGTAAGCTCCCTGTGAAAACATCCAGTGGCAATGCAAGGACCCACAGCTGTAGATTTAAGTCTGTAGATGATAGAATTATTTTTCCATGTAGTTTGCATGGGTCCTTGAGGAGTAGTTGGTGGGATTTCCCCAGGGAATCTCAAGCCAGGCACTGTGGGTGTGCTGCTCTTGGTATCCCTCAGTCTGAGGAAGGAGAGAGGCTCCCATCTGCAGCAGTTGTTCTGAAGGCAGCTGAACCAGTTGCTGTCTGGAAGAGAAGGAGAGGATAAGGAATCTCCTTTGGGAGAAAAGCAAACAGTGGAGGAGGATTAAATGGTGTCCTGAAACAGGCGAGAAACTTCCACTTTGTTCTCTCTTATTCTTGCAGGGATAATACTTATGTCTTTCCTACTCTTCTGAGTTTGTGCCAGGATCATAAAAAAGCAGGTAGTAACACATTCCACTCTGCAGAACTCTCTAGAGAGGGAGCAGGCAGTGTAACAGAGGGAATAAATCCCGAGGGACAAAGATAAAAGATTTCCTTGAGAGGAACCTTCAAATCTGCAGTGCCTCTGTCTGTCACACTGGCAGAAATCTTTGCAAGTCAGCACGGAGCATTGCACGGTCCTGGCATATTCCTCCATCGCAATTCAGTGCAAATGTTGCACTTGGAAAACATTGCCCTGTGATAAATTTAAACAATATCTCATTGGTAGAGCAGTTCGCTTTTAGTCGTTGCAAAGGGCATCTCAAGAACTTGGTTTGATTCTGCTGTATTCTAATATGAGGTTCTTCTGTAAGTGTACAAAGTTCACTCCAGCTTGTTAGAAACATGGAGGGGACCTTGTGGTGATAGTGCTTCAGGATGATCTCTGCCTGTGAGTGTGAAGCTCAGCATTACCTCCTTGAAGACCAGGAAGTGGTCGAACAGAATAGTGCACCTTCCCTGCACAGACCTTTCCAGGAGCAGAAACTGAGAGAGCCAGCTAATTAAGGTTTGGTATACAGAAGAGAGTAATGAGGATTCTGTTAACCCTCCTACGTTCATACTTATTTAGATTGCAGTCTTCTATAGCCATACATACATGCTATACAATTTAAATGCAAGTGCCCTTCCTTTCCCTGTTCCCCAGTTCCCTGTAGCTCTTCCTCCATTGAGGGCCATCCAACAGCACAGAAGCAAAGCAAACTTTCTGCAGTTTTGGCGAGGGATGCTAGGAAAACTTATCATGTAGTATCTGTGTATTGACTTAGACAAATATCAGTCATCTTCCTCATCATAGATATACCTGAAGAATATACAGCTGAGTGTAGCAGTCGAGTACATTCATGCATTTTCATTCACCAAGCCCAAATCCTGGTGGTTCTGAGTTTGATGGAGAGACAAAAATACTCGCTGACTTCCAGTAGCCTCAAGTCTGTAATCTTTATTTTCTGTGTTATAAGATTTTTAAAGTCTCCCTTATAAACAATACATGGCATTCAGTATCTACAGCTTCATGTCGGAGTAGCACAACTGTGAAAACCTGGCAGCTTCTTCCATTTGTGAAAACAAGCAAAGTCTTTCCATCCTTGTCCCAGTGCATTTGACAGGTTGTTCACCCTTATTCTCTGGTTTCAACCCACACCTTAAGAAACAAAATAATGCAGCAGTCTGAATGATAGATGCGGTGTTCCTGTAATATTTCTTTGTGGAGGGCAAAAAAAAAAAAAAAAAAAAGAGGAAAAAAATGTTTTCCTAGCAAACCAGTTCAGCGTGAGCTGATTCTAAGCTGCATGGCCATGATCCAGTTCACACAGTTGGAAGCGAGGTTTGCTTGTTGTTGTGACGTGATTTATGCCATAGGTGTAACCTTTGGGACCAATCCTGGTCTGTTCTGTACAGGTTTCCAATAGAATAGGGGTCACTGTAGAGGAAGCACTTATTGCAAGTGATAGTATTTCAGTGAAGGTTTTGTAAGGGAGATCTGTTACTCTGGAACACAACTGTTTGGGGGACTTGGTGAGGTGCTTGAGCAGGTGGCTCTGTGGAGGTGTACGTCCTTCTGTGAGCACTTCATCCTTCACTGGGCATCTCCAGGAAGTCTTGCTTGTGTGCAGTTACAAAGGAATGTATTTGCAGGGGTGTTTTTGGGTGCATGGCTGGTGCTTCACAAGCTTCAATGACTTTAGCTATTGGGAAAGCCTCTCCAGGGCATCTGATGGTTGTTGGCATTGCTGAACTAGCTCTAACACTTCCCATGCAGGACTTCCATGTACATGGAGCAGAACTGGCATGACCCTCCTCACCTCTGTAGCCCATTCTTAAGTCTCCAGCGCTCATGCTGCGTTTCAGTGCAAAAGCTGCAGCTGTGCCCTTGCCACATTTAACCCCTACTGACTGAGCGCACTGACAGAATTCACTCCCATGTTGATTTCATCTCCTTCCCCCTGCGCCAATCCTGCTGAAATTGAAATGCTGTAGCATCACTTGTTGCTAGAGCTGTTACTGCTACAGTCAGGATGCTGTGGCCGTATTGGGGTGAGCAGGACCCTGCCCAGCACCCCACACGTGCTGCATCAGCGCGTCTCTGCTGTTGGATTCTGCCCCCATCTCCCCCTCCTTTGGCCTTTATGGATTACTGGTGAAACTCACTTGTACAGTTTGGATGTTTGATAGATAAAGCACGTATGAAAATAAAAAAAAAGGAAAAAAATATAAATACAGAAATCTCAACACTGTGCATTCAGTGTCTTTTCTTTCTAGCTTAAAAGAAGGAAGGTAAATAATGTCAAGTCAATGAATATCAGATATATTTTTTGACTGTACATTACAGTGAAGTGTAATCTTTTTTTTACAACTGCGAGTCCATCTTATTTATTCTTGTAAATGTTCCCAGACAATGTTTGTAATATGGGCTGTGTTGCAAATCCATAAAATAAATCTGTGATCTGAGATTAATGTTTTACTAAGAGACTCTTGTGCTCGTGCCTTTTCTTTGCACATGCAGGGGACAATATATTGCAAGCAGTGCTATTAGAAATGGGGTGGTGGCACAGGAAAACACGAGATAGCTCCTTGTCACATTGATGGGCAGCTGGCTTTATTTCACGAGCGCCGTTCAGAAGTGGCTCGACAGCAGCAAAGAGAAAGCACCCAACATTTCAATCTAGCTGCAGCTTTTGAGACAGCCTTCTCAGAAAGCCAACGTACGTGTGCTGAGTGCTTTTAAAAATTACAGTCTTAGAAGTGCGAGTTAGAACTGAACACGTTCTTTCAATGTTTTCCATCTAACAGGTATGACTGCCTTGTTTCCTTGGTGTTCAAGTGCCGCGTTGCTAATGTTGATATTGCTAATGTTAAACACGTTTTTCTGGTGCTTTCTATAGGCGGGTATTTTGTGTGCAGGTGTTGCGTGCCGAACTTGAATGTGGGATGAGATGTCAGTAGCAAATATTTTCACACATCCACCAGCAGGCTGCCATGCTCATTCATCCACAGCCACGTGGCTGTGCTTGGCTTCCAAGGCAGTCTGTGAAAGCAGGAGGCTGCAGGCGGGAAGTAGACAGGGATCTTCTACACCAAGGACCGCTTTGTTCCTCAATGTGAGCACGGGTGCATTGAGATTCACAGCTTAACGCCAGGAGAGTCGTGTCTTGCTACACTCATACAACCCAAGTGGTAAGAACTAATTTGTTTTACATTGTTAATTAGCCTTCCTAAAAATAAACTAGAAGGATGATGTGGCTCCTGTTTTTCTTAAAGCATGGTAAATCTACCTTGGAAGCATATTCCTTTCTCTGTGCACGTTTTCTTTTGCAAATACTTAGCTTTTTTCATCGGTACAAAGAAAACTCCACAGCACTACACTGGTATCTGAGTTTGGCTCAAACACAGCATTTGCTCACACGTTTACTGTTGTTCTGGGCAGGCAGATAGAAGGCAAAAGTTGATGCCAAAGCAAGCTCCTCACCACAGTGTTGCACCTGGCATGTGCAAGGTGTGAACCCACACTGATGTCATCCAGCTCCATCACTGCCTTCGAGTACAGCTGCTCACATTTGCTAAGGTTAAACCTTCAAACACCACACACTTGCTGATATGCAGGTATTGCTTAAAAGCAGATGTCAAAAATGGGATTGGTCTTATTAAGGCATTGCTGTCCACGTGACATCCAAGTCTAGAGAGGGGATGGAGAGGATTACCTGGATGGGGAGCAAAAGACCTCTCCAGAAGGTGAATCCGGCTTGGACAGCCAGGTGGTTGTCTTCTGGACGTGCCTGTTTTCTCCACTGACAAGTTAGCTTGATGACCAGTACCAACATGTTCCACTGTGAGATGTCTGCTGTTAGAGGAGATGTATCCTCCACATTCTGTATATCGACAAGGAAATGATGCCGTATAATGGCATAGAGAAGGAACAGATTTAATTCTTCATGTCTATTCTTAGATATTAGTCATCTAAGCCATCTGAGTTGGCCATTGGAGGTCCTCCCTCTTTGATCAAGTTCAACACTTGAAAATGATGAAAATATAATAAATAATATATTTAAGGGGAAAAAAAAGCACTGTTCTGTATCAATTTTACTTTAGTACACTGATACATAACTTTAATTTTACAACATTGACATACGTTTTTTCTTGTGTTTTGTTTAGCTTTTGTTTTGTGAGACATCTCTGTGTGTGTTTAGGAGGATGTCACATTGCAGAGAATGGTTATAACTGGCTTGTAAAAGTTTACCCATTAAGCGTTAATATATGGTGAATCAATAGCTACAGAGCATTTATGGGACAGGTCATTGGGGTTACTTAAAAGTCAGTAATGTGTTTATAAACACCTATAATGTACTCTTATGCCAGAAGCAATATAATATTTAGTACTCTTTTATTAATATAATACCCTGTAAATGATATACTGGTAAGATAAGCTGCAACCAGATGGATTTTTCAGCAATGTGGTGAAATAGCTCTTTTATTGCATGTATAAATGGTTCCCTCTAAAACATTTGTGAAAGGAAGTCTGGCTTGCATAGGGGAATGAATGAAATATGCAGAACCTTTGGAGATGGTTAGAGCCAGAAGTTTCTAACCATAATGCTCTCTGTATTCTCACATGTAGGATGCTAGGAATGGCTTAGGGCAGCTCTCAGCTCCACCGTGGACTTAGCATCTCAGGAAAGCTATTTTGTTTTCTTCCAGCTGTGTGATGTAAGGTTTGAACAACATTAGGAGATAGTCCATTGACGCTACCAGTCTCACAGGATGTCTCTGATATTGGCAAATTATGTAGGAAAGGTGCCAGTGGTGTGTGCCATTTGTAATGGTCTTCTCTGATACAGTACCTCAGTGTGGGATATCACAAATGAGAAGTGATACCCACAGGGATCTTTCTTCCAAGTGATGTTTTGATTTGTGTCTGATCTGACTTAGGCTCCTTCCAACCCTAGGATCCATAGAATCATACTCATAGAAACACCAAGGTTGGAAAAGACCTACAAGGTCATCAGTCCAGTCATCCATCTATCACCAAGTGTTCCCACTAGAAGCCCTTGCCGGGATTCTAAGCTAATGTTGGAGTGTGCCAAGAGCACGTAAAGCACAGGTCCCCTTTAGGACTTTATGCTGATTTGTGCATCTTCCATGCAAAGAAGTCTGCTCCAACAGCAGAGCAGGGAAGTGATGATGTGTGTGTGTGTGTTTCTTCCATCTGCCAGCTCATCCTGCTGCTGGAAGCTGAGCACAACTAATCTGCTACAACAGGAGCTACTAGAAGGCATTATTGGCAGTGTTTGTGCAGCCATGGGTGCTGATGGAAAGGTCGAAGAATGAAAATGATTGTCCATACTGGTGCCATAGGAACCAGGTATAACAAAGCAGGTATAACAAAAGGTATAACAAAGATAGGGATGAGCAGCCCCAGCTCTCTGTAAATGTGTGTACTTATTAGCAGCCAGTCCCAGTGCATACGTATCACAAGAAGCATCACAACTTGCAGTAGCTGTTCCTGTGCTGGCTGTAGTTTGGAGGACAGTTGACCTGTGTCAATAGCAGAAGCCAAAATAAGTCATTAGGTTTCGTTTCTGCTTTGTGCCTTCACAAAATTGCTTGTTATACGTAGAAATGAAGTTTGTCACTATGGATGTAGATTATAGCATACTCCACACCGATGGAAGCACCTTCATCTTTGCAGACAGAAGCTGTGCTTAAGAAACAGCAGGTTACAGTGTTCTGTGATATCTGAGGGAATTTACTGCTATTGGCCATGGAGGTCCTTCCTACATACTTTGAACCTCTGGCACAGAACTGAGACCCATTGCTTCAGTCTTGTGCTGCTCAGGGACGTTTTGTATCCAGGTACAAATGATTAATTGATTCACTATTCATTTTCAGTAGCATTTTACACCAAAGTCTAAAGCGTGCACACATTTGTAATGGACAGAGCTAGGGTCCCACCTTCCTGATAATTTCCAGTGCTTATCAGGGCTACAACAGTTTCCATACCCTACTCTCTGGGTCCATGAGAGAAAACTGTGATTTGCACTGCTTCTGACCCTGCCCACTGCTCCAGATGTTTGCTAGGGGTGGGCTTGGGGCAGCCTTTCCCATCAACTGATGTGCAGTGCCCAACACAAACAGGCTTTGTTCCCCACCTTGTTAAGCAAAATAGCTGCAAAAATATCAAGCAGTGAGAAAGTATGAAGTCAAGGCTGATTTTTGGCTGCAAGCATGCAAATAATTCTCACTGGCAGACTCCTACTGCTGCTGTTGCTTACATGAATCAGCTCTGCAAGTTTGGAGACTAATTTTGGAAACTGCGGGTTGGGAGTGATAATTCTAGGTTACAAAGACACTCCAACTGTGTGTGTGTGTGTGAAAATGAAAAGCAGATGCAGCTTGCTGAAAGAGAATGGATCCCTATCCATCCCAGACACTGGAACAGCTCTTGGTCTGAAAGCATGTAGGATGAGGTCAGAATTTTGTACACATCAGTCCATGGAAAATACTGTCATTGCCTCAGTGTTTTTTCATCGTCCACTTTTAAAGTAGGAATCCCAGTGAGGTCTCAGCACGAAGCTGCGTGAGCAGTGGCAAGCCTTTGCACGCAGGGTGCAGGGAGAGATAGAGGGGAACGTTTTGTTCTGGAAATGTGAGTGCAGTTGTAAGATCACTCAGGATGCAAATACTCACAATTTTCTTGTGCTTCCACGGAGTTCAGAAAAACGTGTGGGCTTAGAAGTTATTGGTCCCACATGTGGCTCTGAGGAAGCGATAAGAACACAGCACTACAGCACACCCTCTGAGCCCAGGGGTGACCTTTTAAAAGAAATTGCAGATTTAATTTTTTATTTTTTTTTTTAATGAATTCACATGGAGTGCAAAGATCAAAATGTAACGTTTTGCTAATGCGTTCCATGCAGTTTTAAATTACTTAAGCGCCGAAATCATTCTCGGCTGCTTTATCCTATTCTTGTTTGGTGCTCTTCATTGGGAAGCAATTTGCTTTGGTTATCAGGGCTGCCCCCAGCCCACCTATCTGCCTCACTGATGGATGAGGGAACACTGCTGCACAGGACATTTCACCAGCCTAGCTCTCTTGAAAGGGAGAATCATGCTCACGCGGATAAAATATCATTCTAATGTTCCTGGCCTTATGCACTTTCACTTTTGGGAAATCCAGGATGATTTTTTTCCCAAGTTTAACTTTTGTGACTAACGAATCTTGTGTCAGTCACATATATAACTTTATATAGGGCATACATATATATATACATAGCTTGTGAAGTCTGCTTATATAAATATGTATATACGTATATATAGAAGTGCTTGTGTGAATATCTAGGTACGTAAATAGCTTTCATGGTACTTCCTGTAGGGTTATCCAGCAAACCCAAAGACGTGTGTGTTATCCTGGGAAGTGTTAGCCA